GAATGGTCAGTGGATGTGTGGCACAGCTTTGTGGGCATATTCAAAAAACCTTCATATTTTTTCTACCTGCTTTTCTAGAGAAAAAATATGTTGCTTTCGACTTTCGACTACTTAACAGTCTATACATCAAGCGTTGTTGATTGGATGTGCGAACACCAGTGGCAAATCTTCTAACCTTGGTGCCGATCTTTTAAAAACAGCGCAGGCTCCGAAAAGGGTCGACGTTTGAAAGGCACTTGCTGAAAGATGCTAAAGAACGTTTGTGAAGAGATGGAATCACATGTTAAGCCCTCATCAATCTGCCACTGCAAGAGATACCAGTTGGTGGTTCCACATGGTTTCCTGAAGGGTACCAGTTGAATTATATATAGGCTGTGGTTGAAAGCACCAAGCACCCCTAAGGGGTAGTTGCTGTCTCATCGCGGTGTTTCCTTCTGATCCCATCACTAATCAAGTGGAACATATCTTAAGATTGTCTTTTTCGGTGGGTCAGACTCTTCCCAGCTCCCAAACATGGATACCTCTGTGATTCTATATATATATAATTATATATATCATTATACATCCTATACAAACATATACAAAGAAGATACCAAACTCTCCGGCTGGGTGTTTCCACCCCCGGTCGAGCTCGTCATGAGAGGTGGCAAAAGCTCGGGAGCCGACTTGCACTGAAGCTGTAGCCATCGAAAAGCTGGGCAAGACAGGGACATCCAGGGACGAATAGAAACTGGTTGGTGGCGTTGTTATTGGTTGTAGGAACAGTTCTTTTTTTGGTTTACCCAACACATATGGGCTTTATTTCTTTTGACAAGAAGATGTGCCAAACGCGGCTTCAAAACGCCAAAAGCACCCTGGGGGCATCAAGCAGCTGGTCGTGCATGAGGGTGCATGTCGGTGCCATATTTTTTAATGTTCACGTGATCCTACCTGGAAGGATCCTATATCATTGATTTTCATAGATTTGGAAGAGGTTGAAATTATCAACCAGAAAATGTATGGTGGCAACTTCGCGGCTGGAACCAGGGTTCATTAGTTTGCCAAGTTATGATGACAATGATTTTGGTGGCAGTTACTGCAGGGTGAAGTCTAGATTTTCAACTTGACACAACGGGTAGACCACCCGAAGAATGTGTGGATTTCTCCTGTGCTGGAAGACCCTTAGGCATGATCAGGATGGATAGATTCGTCCCTGAGTCCTTTCGAGGAAAAATCTCGATGTCAACATTTTTGCCACATGGCAAGGCAGGGAACAGACTGCCCAGCGTGTGCAGAGGTGAAGGGATCCAAGATTCGATCCGTCAATGGAGAGCCATGGAGAGCCGTCACAAGTGAGCACCTGCTACAGCTGTCGTGTGAGCAGTGTGAAGGACTCTTCGTGAGGTTGGCTTAGTTTGAATGGGAAGCCCACTTTGGAACCTCTCCTGGAAAATTGTGCGAAATCTCGAGTTTCCATTGTATATGGTATAATGTTAATTATCTCAGTCTACGTTCAAATGTTTCAACGTTTGTTTCAACGTTTGTTTGAGGATTCATGGTGACATGGTGGGATTTGTTCGATCCCTTGCCACAAAACACCCAGAGATTCCTCCCAGGAAAAATGGATAATGTTCCATATGATCCGCCCGATCAGTGATCCGCAGACCTACCATGCTTGTCAGTGCTAAGCGGATTGTAGAATGATCCATTCTAAGCGGATAACCAGTTGAACAGTTTCGAGATGAGATGCACTACTGTACTCTATCATACTCTATCCAATTCGAAATCAACCGCACCCCCGCACAGGCAGAGGACGCAGAAGGCCTGATCCAGGGCTGGATCACGGCACTGATGATTTTCGGTTGAAGATTCCCATCCTTCCACTGTTGTTCGGTTTTCTGAGTTCTCAGACTTTCGAGTGCGTTTTTCCTAACCATAAGCCTCTACCAAACAGCTAAGTGCTGTGCGGTGCATAGTACATATATATATAATTATATATATATATACACATTAAACATACTGAACAATCTAAAGAACCAAATTTAGAAAGTTTGATAGAGTAAACCCAGCCTTCTCGTCAATGGAGAAGACAATATGATCCTGGAATATTCTGGATATCTTGGTAACATTTGGAACCATCAAGTGCACCTGGCGCATTTGGTTTTCAAGTGTTCTACACGTCCGCTGCTAGGTGCCCGTGCGCTTCTTCAGCAAACGGTGGCAGCTGATCCGTTGCAAAGGGAGTTTCAACAGGAGGCCTGGTCCTGTCATTGTGAGAACCACCCCCAATTGTGCTATGTTTTCTCTTTTTGATGCTTTGTTTCTGCGGATTTCCGGGGTACGCCTCTAGGGCTGATTCCAAGGGCGGTGACTGACTTTAGCACTGGGTCAGTTCGGTCTTAGCGGGCTGGCAATCCCCGAAAGATTGATGCATTGGGTGACTGCTGTTGACATCTTCAGGATGTGGGTATGGGTGAAATGGGATGGTTTCTGATCTTAAACATGACCAAAGTTGGTGAGGCCAGTTGGTACTCTTACCCCACTTTTGACTGCTACCCATTTCGACTCTGTCGGCCATCCTTTCAGATGATGGCTTGCCTAATCATTGGTTTTCTAAGTGGTTGAACTTGAATAACAACAAGAAGAGACTTCAGCTTTAAGAAATGCAGTCATCGCGCTCAGACGGGTTCTCGTCCAACCTGGATCGTCTCCTGGTTCCGTGGTCAACAACTGATGATGATCCGCAATGACCATCTTTTTTGGTTGGAAACAGACATTAAAAATTGGGCATTCTTTTTCAGCTGCTCTACCACTTGACGTCATCATATCAATCATCTGAGAGCTTCCTGACGTGGCTGAACAAGACTCACCGCAGGTGCTAGTGGACCTTTTTGAAGATTTGATGACCTATGCCAAGGTGGGAAATCACAAAGCACCTGTGACTACCCTGCTATGAGAACAGCTGTGCGTTTGGAGTGGCATTTTTCAGGATCTACCAAAACCATCCAAAACCTATTATATCATACTGTATTTGGTGGGATGCACATCCATTTACCATTTCTTTGGGAGTTTACTTATCAGAGTTTTGACCCATAGCCCAAACCTCTGCGAGCAGAGGCTCGTGGTCAGGCTATTGAAAGATACTGTAGATCAAACATGATCAAACCATACTGTAGAAGATGCTGTTTGAAAAGCCCCTCAATCTGATTCATTATATATATAACTATATATATATATATATATATATTAGCCACTATTAGCCTACTATTAGCCCCTAACTTTAAATCGCTTTTGTGCGAACCGTTGGTCACTCTGAAACGGTCACTTCTGGTCACTTACGGCATGCTGCTTGTGCAGACCATCTGCTTGACATCTCGGAAGACTTCGGTTTTTGTGGCTCAGTTCATGACAGATCCGTTGGGCAAAGTTAAATTATTCATATCAAGCTGCAACAAAAACTGCAGGACGAAAGTCTCTCTACTACAGTCTTGCACATATTTTGTTGATTTGCGCCGAAGCATTTTCTAGATCCACGGCCAACTTCTGCCTTTTTGATCGGCCGCTCACTGTTTTGGAATTGTTGTGGTAATCCCCTTCTTCAATGATCAACGCCCCATGCAGGCGAAGCCCAAAAAGACTAGATCCATCTAGATCCACTATGGGGCTCTGTGCTGTGTTTATTGATACTGTAGGGGGAAGCGACTACTGATGACTACTGGTTGGTGGTTTTAACAGGTTGAACAGGTTTTAAATCAACAAACGGCTGTTCAACGGCTGTTGATTGTCAACCCAGCTGAGTGTCGACCCTAGGTCCAGATTCTAAAGCAGCTCTTGGACATGATGCCGCGAGCTTGGCAGATCTTGGAGGAATCCATAGTTGGGATCTACTTAGGACCCACTGTTTCAAGATTGTGAGGAAAGAATCCTAGAACAATCCTAGTTTCAATATGTTTCAATATAAATGTCCCCACAACAATTGGTTTTACTGGTGTTGTTTCTTTCGTTCACGTCTAGATTGGTGAGGAAAGGGCTGGGCTTTGGCATGTGTTTCCTGCCTACAAGACACCCTTTCAGGCCACACCATTGATTTTAAAAAGCCAACGAGATTTATTGGCAGTTGATTTGGTTGGAGGTGTCATATAATGTTAGTAACGCAATGCCATAATCCACCCATATGTTGATAGTTTGTGACCCATAAAAATCGTGAAATTGGGGTGATGGTGAACACTATTGCTTCATTAACATTACTATACCATATATAATTACATAATATATTATATAATATATTGATTCATAGTTATTACTACTAGTTAATAACTTACTTAACTAGGAATCACTTATGAATATGGTAATCATATAGATATTAATATAGTTGATTACTAGTTAATAACTTATTTAATGGTAAATTTGGGAATGTCCACATTCTCGGTGTCCCATCCCAGCTACCTGGGATGATTCATATTGTGGATCTTACTCCATATTGATATACTATTATAATATAATATTATAATATTATATATATATACACATACTGTACATAATATATACAAAAATCTATCATATGTTTATTATATATATATACACGTATATATACATATATTCTCAATTGTGTCCGTAGAAGACCGTACACTCTACCCAAGTAATTTCCTCTTACGGTTTCCCCTCCTCGCAGAAGTTCTCATCCCCATCAAGGCATCGCAAGTCTGAAACCTCGCGACGCTTTGGCGTCTTGGCGCAACTGGATTCCTTCATTACAACATCTGCTGATGGGAAACACTGTCAACAAAGATCCAAACATTGCATCTGCATAGTGTCCGCACCTGATGAGATTTGGATGGATTTGATGTGATTTGATATATTGATTTCTGATGATTTCTGGATATATGTGTGCTCTCCTAGTTTCTGAACATCTCCGGCAAATCTATGCAAATCTGGCTGCGCAGCATTGTGTTTTTTGCCAGTCAACCAGGGAAATTTTGCATTCAGCATCTCAATCCCAGAACTCAGCGCCTTTAGCTCAGGTGAAACTACCTCCATCTACGAGTGTTTCCAAGCGTACAAGAGGTGGAACGTTGCTGTGAATGTCAACAATGTGGGTCACAAAACGGCAGTAATCGTTTGAAGATGTCAGAAGGGAACAGACTGGGGTAGCTTCGGATGTCACCTGATTTCCACATATAATGTTGCTGCATGTTTTTCAATGTTTTAAGGGCTCAACCCACAGCCAAGAACCAGGTAGATGATTCACTTCGAGGGGCAGTTTCTAGATTATCTTGTCTATGTTCACAATTGCTAGCTGCTAGAACTCACTATTCATGGATCCCCATAAGAAGTGAGATATCCTACCTGGTACTTGTGTGTATGAAAGGCATAGCCTATCGCCTGTGGATGTCCCTTTCCTTTGATTATTTTGTTGTATGCACGATTTGTAGAAGGGTGGCTTCCGCCTGTTGCCGCAATAGTCACTTGTAAGTGGTAAACAAACTAGCGATTTAATACAATATAGAACACCTGCTCATAGAGTTGTTAGCTTTGTTGATATTGAAGTTTAAATGGCATTCATTGATATGTTTTGGCATTCTGGATAGTTGGGATACTCTCCATGTTTGAACCCTCTGGCTGTTGAACGTAGGAAAAATGACCATTTTTAACAGCTGAATCATCATCAATCATCGAATCAATGGGCCATTTTCCATACTAAAGCATGATCAATGCTGGTAAAGCAATAATAAACCATCCCCAATTTTACCATTCTTATGGGTGGTATAAACTATCACACACTATGAATGGACTATATGGCATTGCCTAACAGTACTATAAATCCATATATATATATAAATCCGATACACATCCCATATAAATACCACATAAATCCATATAAGTCCCATTAAATCCCATATAAATCCCATAAAATGCTTGGCGAAATCATCATGAAATCCATCGATAAAACCGCGCAGGATGCTTGTGGCACACAGCCATGCAGCCTTCGCAACGGCGTCCTCGTCCTCGCAGGCGGAATCGGATTCACTGAGTCGATGGATTATTTCGACGGAATCGATTGAGGGAATATGTTTTATTTACCCTCTGGTAAATAAACATAGACCCTGAAAATCACCAATTGTTAGAGGAAGCTAATCTTCCAATTCCTATCTGCCAGGGTCTATGTTAATTTACCAGAGGGTACCTATTGAAAATATTTGATTTACCTAACATAAATGGCTATGGGTAAATCCACGAAATATATATAAATATATGGCCATTTGTATCAATAGCTATGTTACTATGTTTTTACTGGGGAATCGATCAATCGTATCAATGGATAATGGATTTATTTACCCTCTGGTAATGACTAACAAAGCTATTGAGCATGGCCATAGAAATAGTGGATTTACCCAAAATGGTGATTTTCCGTAGTTATGTTAGTTTACCACAGGGTACTGTATTTGATTTTATTAGGGGGTGCCTCAAGCAAATCCAGGTGTATGCAACTGTTAAAATGTTGGAGAATAAGACCAAATTACGTACATACATGCAACAACAGATGTGTTCATACAACCCCAATGATAGGATTTCCTTGTGGTATGTAACTCTTCAATAAATAAAATCATGACAACAACAATGGTAAATCTTATCATTTTCTCTGGTTCCAAAGAGAGGCAACGTGGTGCCCGGTGCATCTTCGTGGAATTCTCCCGGTTTCATGAAAAACATGGCGGGCCGCTGGGAAATCCCCAAATAGCCATTCAAATCAGAGGAATCGTTGGTAAATCGGGATCTTCATGGATTTTCCAGTAAGCCATGCATGATTTCCAGCGGCTAGATGCACATGGGCAATTTTAGTGGAATCCTGGCCATTTTTGTGTTTTTCTTAGAAGACGAGAATAGAGAAAAAAAGTCATGGTGCAGCTGAGTACTGTGCTCTGGGAATCTTTAAGATGATCATCTCGATTCTCGATCCTCTGCAGACTATCAGAATTCAGATCTGACAGTTTCAAAAAGACATCAGCCACCGGCCGGCGAAGCCGGCAAGTCAGATAAGCCTTCAACATCGGCCAGATGATATTTCTGCACTGAGTTGAATATGGATGGCATATTGATTTCACAAGACTTTACGATCGACTATGTCAAAAGAATAGATGACATATGAAAGCACATGTGTTATGCCGTTATGCCCTTTATTCTTTACCCCCATAGATAGTAGAATATACATTATATATATATACGTATGTATATATATATTGTTTAACATTTTAAGACCCCTTATTTTTGGTGCTTCTTCCCCCGATGTTTTACGTGCAGGATGGAGATCCCTCCATGGCGACGCTGGGGGTTGGTGTGCCCAGATTCGGTCGCGGGAGTTTCGTTGGGGTCATGGGTATAGCTAGGTATGGCTATGGTGATTTCACCATAAATATAACCATTACTATGATTAAGTGATATATATATCCTATTTTATCACTTATCTGATTTCACCGTCAAATATCCATAAATTTGGATATACGTGATATAATGCGCTATAAGGAATATGAATATAAGTGATATAAGATGCTATAAGGAATATCGCTATGATTGTATATCCACTTATCCACTTAAAACTGGAACTGCTCCCTCAAGTAGTGGGTTACCTGGGGTTTAAATATGGATAATTCCAGGCCGTTTATGGTCCACACACTGGTGACTTCCTCGTGAAAATTGGATGGCTTTAAGAGAACATCTACACCAAAGCCTGTGGATTTTCCCTTTACCCTCTGGTAAACTAACGTAACTATGGAAAATCACCATTTTTAATGGGAAAATCCACTATGAATGGCAATCTTCAATAGCTATCATAATCTGACCACCCAATTAATCAGGACATAACATGCTATAACCAACATGATTTTGACTGGTTGCCTACAGAATTATTTTCCACCCACAAAAGATGATGATAATTCCAGTTGACTGTCATGATTCGGATGGTGTGAATTCATCTACCAGTCATAAAACAACTCTGTAGAATTATCTACCATATAAATCCATATGACTGCAACAAGAACGGCCATGGCAACCAAGATCTTGAGAAGGGTTCCTTTTCATCGCAAGGCTTTTAATCTTGGATGTAGAGAAAATCCAGGATTTCTTCTGGAGTTTATGGCTTTGTTCAGGGATCTCCAAATCTTATCTGATGGAAACGTTCAATAAAGATAAAGACCAGCACAACTCATTGACGCCCCATTTTTGAATGGTGCTCGTGATTATCCTGGCAAGTGTTTCGTTCTATATATCTCTTAACATGATATATGCCTCATGTGCATATACTGTAATACCTTTAACCAAACCTATGTAAATGAATACTGTCTCATGAACGTGTAATTATAACATATATATATATGTACAGCAGCCTCCCAACTAGCAAAGATCCTGAGAATGGAGGGATTTGGAAGGTGAGGATTTACCTCCCTATACATGCAAGGCGGTGCCCCCCAGTTGTCAGTTGTTAAACCCAATGAACTCTAGATCTATCTAAACATCTCTAAACCCTAGCCTCGTGGTAAATCAACTTGCCTAACTAAATCCCACTACAAATCCCATTAAATTAAATCCCCTTTCATTCCATGATGGCTTCCAATGACCTCCCTGCTACGGATCCCCAGATGGCTTCAATTACCTGAGGTCTTCCGCTCGGCGGATGTGCGATTGCTCACCGACTTTGTCACAGGAGATCGGCTTTGGAGATGAATTGGTCCAGTTTTAATTTTATGGTACGATTATTATGTGTATATATATATGTAAAACATTGTAAAACTATAATATGGCACCTGTTAATATGGTTTAATATGGCTTATATGATGAATTGGTATAATATGGTATGATTATGTGTGTATATGTACATACATGTATGCGTATATGGGGAAATAAAACTAATTATATGCAATGGGAATATGAGGATATTATGCGTATATGATGGGACATTCACAAGATTATCACATGAATTTGTCTCAACATAGATGATTTGCAGGTGATGTACATTGAAACATGGGGAACATGATGATACCTAATAGACAAAGGGTTTGGGTCTAGTGATACCCGGTGCGTGTTGAATGATGTGGTGATGCCTTGTGATACAATAGCATCAGTGGTGCGAAACAATTGAGTATTTACACAGACACCACATGACCCAAATCGTTTGAAAGGAGTTGGTTTCAACAGGTTTGGAATGCAGTGCGAACATCAGGTATTCTTGAGCATGCTGCACTTCCAAAAAGCAATCACTTAATCACCCTCCAATAGATGATGTGATTGCTGAAAAGCCACTGAAAAGACCAGTGGTTCCGCCGAGAGTCTGCAGTGGTTCCTCGAGGAGCTTTGTTCCAGCAATTCCTCCTGTACCAATGTGTCCTGATTTGTCCACAGGACAGGGACAGTTTGGATTTGACCTGGTTTTTCTGTGGGAGAATTGCGGCACTACTGCCATTTGAAGCAATGCAAATTGCAGTATCCACCTTCATGGGTCCTCAATTTGGATCACTATTTGGGATACCAGTTGTACTGTTCTTGTCGAGCATAAGTACTTGCACTGGGTGTTGTTACATCATGTCTTGCAGCAATCACGCCGCCGCTTTGTTGGTTTACCCGTTGCATACTATTCCCAAAATACGCTATCATACCAAAGTGAATATAATACATATCTGTCTACAGTATATATATATATACAACATGTACAGTATATATATACATGACACCAATCCGACATCAGAAACACATGGGTACAGCAGGTGTTACATGTTCTGTGTCCCCAATGCACAAAAAAATGTCACCTGATGCAATGCTCTAGGACTCGGTAACATCTTACACAGAGGTGGAGCTTCTTCAGTCCGAAACTCAACGGGTGGTAAAAATGGTCCCATTTAGGGGTTGCGCCACAAGGATTACAAGAGGTGACTTGTATGTAAATTTGGTAAATGGAACATCCAAGCGAAATGTGATCCAGCATGGATTCTGTGTGTATATGTTCAGAGTTTCAGACACTGGATTTGATTGAGTTTCTTCTGACCCAGCGATTCCATGATGTGTTTTCTGGCATGTCATGGTATGTCATTGTATGTCGTGGTATGTCCATGGTATGTCATGGTATGTCTACTGGCCAAAATATGTTAAGATGAGATGGGCTGGCTTGTCGGTCGTTTTTTGAGTACAACATTTTGGAATACCAAAGTTTGCTTCAATGATAAGTCGTCTTTTAACAGATCCACAACGTTGGATGACCCAGGTGATGGTGACAGACCATACCCATTCCATTGATTTCCATTGCGCCCTTCGAGGCCATTACCCCCACCAGACCTCAAGAAAGCTGTGTCCGGGTGACCCATGTGGTTTCGGGCCACTTTGTCGGGTCTGTGGACGGTCTAGTTGGATCCTGGTAGCAGAAAACAAATGAGGGGGTCCATAAATGGGGGGACCCCCTACCACATCAATGTTTTTTAAATGTTTTTTTGATCATAAACCATCCAGCTATTGGGGTACCATCATTTATGGAAACCTGGACACCATCCATGAATTCAGCAGCTTGTCCTCAGTATGTCGTGAGGTCTAAAAAGAAGGCAGCCCAGGCCTGGAGCCATTGTGCCAGGCTTTTTCCGCCTCCAGCATCAGAGAAAAAGCTGCTGTGAAGTGAAGCTGTTCATTTTGTCAAATCTCTCACAACATGGGAGATTCTTGGGGATTCATTGTCCAGTTGCCAGACATTGCCAGACATCCCATGATTGAGATATGGAGAGTGGACAGCCAAACAGGGCATCACCTCGCAAGTAGGGAGGATATTACGGCACCCCGGGGTGCTTTAAAGCCTTCAATTTGGTTTCTTTATTTGTATTTGTTATTTTTGGAGGTACTATCTGGTAATTTAATATAGTCAATGCCAATGGAAAATCACCAGATTTTATAGCTAAACAATCCATACATGGGCCATTTTCCATTGCCATGTTGCTTGTGTTGGTGTTTTTTGGGGAGACTTTTCGACCCCTCCTTGGCAGCGTTTCCCCCCAGCTCGGAGGCAAAAGCAGGGCATGCCAAAAAAGCCTATGCAGCAAGGCGAGGGACCCAGAAATGGGACCCCAAACCAAGGGTGGGAGGTCTTTGGCAACTAGAAATGGCGCTTGATGAATTTTGATGAATTTTGGAGCTGCAAGATCTTTGGATCTGCCCTTTTTTTTTCTTTGAAGAGATCCAACAGATCCAACAGCAGGGGTTCGTGTGTCAGGTCCAAAGGGACGACCTACACGGAGGTCTCACCGGAGGTCTCACCGGGGATGTAAAGGTGAGATTGTATTATATCTGTTATATTATATTATATAATATATACGATATATAAGATATATAATATATATAATATTGTATATATTGTATATAATATATATATATATGTTGGATGATTTTATGCACAGGATCCCTGGAATGGACATGATCTCTGGACTTATTCCATCCAGTTTCAGCTGATCTGCAAATATCCTTAGGGCATCAACCAGTGGTAGGATCAGTTACCGTGTTTGGTGTGAGAAAAGCTATGGGGCTCCATCTCCCTATGTCACTCTAGGCTTGGTCAATGTCCGTTTGATGAGCCACGAATTCAGTTTCCCAGCCAGGGTAACCTCCTGATGGATGTACACATGTCTGTTCCATGTTCAAGATTCACTCTAAGATACTACCCTCTGGTAATTTAACGTAGCTATTGAAAATGACCATTTATAGTGGATTTTCCCATTAAAAATGGTGATTTTCAATAGTTATGTTAGTTTACCAGAGGGTAAGATACTATTCCCGGGGAGGATTCATAGAATTCATGACCATTCATGACACTGTCGGGGACAGGACGCAGAGGCGGAAACCGAAGGCAGGGACTGGTCGGCGCAAATCTTGGGGGTTCAAACCTTGCACGGACAAACACAGATCGCTCTAAAAATATATATATACACAGTATATATATATATATATATGTATAGCAACCCCCCAAAACGATAGAACATAGTAAAATCCCACTAAAATAGTGATAGACTGCTCTTCCATCTATTTGGGGCATCTATTTGTTGCATTTTGTCATTTTTGTTTGATCTAATGGGGATTCTTAAATGTTTGATATTACTTATTGGTGACTAGGATTACCAATCAGTATCAACTAATCATCAATAAACATGTACCTTCGATGATCTCCAAACTACAGACTCACTTTCCACATGAATTGGGGATCCACCGTTCAAGTTTCGGCACAACAAACGGCGCGATGCCAGGTGTTTCCTTGGATCAAACCTTCTCGCAGTTCCCTAAGGCTGGAAGCCAAAAAAGCGGATGTGTGTCATACTCCCCCAAGATGGCAGACATCCCAATGACAGCTGTTCGTTCATGTGTTTATCTTTAGAAAAATAACACCAATTATGTTGATCTATATAAACAACATGTGATGTAATTTCTTTTTGGTACCCCCAAATTTCATTGATCATGTCCCCATTGGGGGATAGATCGAAACCATTCAAAAGCTATGATACCATCCCAGCTATGAATAGCTGTTCACTGGTACTGTATCAGGGTGACCTGACGCATGCCCATTTGGTCAAATAGTTCACAACCTAAACACATTACCATAGGTCCCCATATCCCACCTAATAATTATTAATCATCCCATGGTTATACCATTTGAAATCATCATTGGTCCAGTACTAAGCCACAAGAAAAGTCACTATCCTACTACTATAATTCCACTTTTGCCAGCCAATTGTCCATGGTTGTTGCCCCAATCAGAACAGTTCACAACCTTATGCAAAACCCACTTGAACTGTCTTTAATTTATAGGTGTGCATATATATATGTTATATATATATATAATTGTGTATATATATATGTTATATATATAATTGTATATACATATATATATATTATATAATAATTGTATATATATACATAACCATACTCATACTAACCATGGTCATAGATCTTGTATCCCAACTCATGGTGGTGATTTTCCCATGCTAACCACGCCTTTTTTTTTCGGAACATCAGGACTTGACCATCGATGAACATCATGAAGAGAGTACCAAAGCGGCTGAGGCTTGGGCTTCTTGGGATGGGTTGAATTTAAAACAAATGGTAGAAGCATCAACTTACAATCAACAGCAGCTATCTAGGGCGATGAACCTTCAGAAAAAATCACAGTGGTTTTATGATATTTTGATGTTCACCAACAGGTACAGGGTGTTGACTCATAGCCAGATGGTTGCTAGTCCGATGGACTCGCATCCAATTGCTATGGACCATCCGGTAGGGAGAAATCATGGAGGAACTGAGAGATGTTCCCTGGATTTAGGATGACAATATTATGAGGATACTAGGCAGAATTGCGCCCCGTTTTTTCAGCTGAGTGGCCTGTGTTGCCTTTGCGAATGTGTTTTTTTAATACAACTGTCTATTTAAGTACACATAGTATTATCATGATATAGATAATATACACATATTGTATACCCTCCGGCAGTCAAAATTAGCAATTGAAAATCCCCTATAAATGGAGGGTAGATCACCAAAATCAGGCCACTGCCAAGACCAGCATCCGACGGCATGACAAGGATTATCCCGTGGGTGGGAGCGGTGGATGTTCTAGTTGAGATTACGCTACCCAATACATTGGGGATTATCATGATCCAATCAATTGGCTTCAGAAAGTTCCGGACTTTGAATGTGGTAAGCCCAAGAATCTTCATATGGTTGTATTGGCAGCTGGTGTATACTTTGCTTTACCACATTATAGCCTGGTGAAGGAGTATTGATGATCAAGCCATCAGTGCTTGATGAAAGGCTTGATGCAATACATGACTTGATTGTCCAATTTTTGTTGCATTCAAATCCTGATAGACCTTGTATTTGAAATGAAGTCAACTGTCAACTGTGAGGTTAAGAGTCAATTTCAGTGGTCAATTCTCAGCATTGAACGCACCTGCCACAGCAGCCTGTCCAGCCTGCCGCGCAATGCAGGACTTAGCCCAGCCGTCCTGAAATTGGACTGGTCCGCTGTCCAGCAAAAATTGTGCTGGACATGTTTCACTGCTGAGCATGATGCAGAGCCGAAACAGGCCGCGGCCCAACCATGTTGGAGGTGAGCCTAGCGTTGGTTGGTTCAACGGCTTCATGCACTGATGGAACAGAATGCCCTGACCAAAATGGTGTGGTTTGGGCATCTTGAGATAGAGCCGACAGAGAGCTCATGTGTTCCTTTTTGCTCAAGGCCGAAAGAGCTTCACTTCCTCATACTTCCATATACTTGCCAGCATCCTGGACTAGTTGTAGAGTAGAGATAGCCACGACCAGGTCGAAATTTGGCCATATTTTGGGTTCTTTAGTAGGCAGGTGAATCATGGTGAATCCGCTCCGATTCATGATTGTTTCCTGGAACAAGCTATTTTCTGATGCTGACACTTTCTGGCAGAACGACTGGAGAACGACAAATTCTGGCGATATTTTTGACTTCAGAACGCAGCAAAAGGTCAACAGATTAATGATGGCTGGCCATGCTGCGCATTTCCTTTCAACCTTTGTCACGTGTGGATCTCGGTGTCTGCAGGATTCAGAATGCGCCAAACAGCAGCGACTTGAACCGTGGAGTAACATCAATTCAAACCCATTTGAACCCTCAACTGTTCTCTTTCGAGTTCGGAGATACATTTGGAAGGCTTTGTAACATTGTATAACTCCATGCGATAGTGCAATCTTGTACATTTCTTCAGCATCCTCTATGGGACCATGTCAGTTGAGTTTTTTTCAATTGTCGAATTCAGAAAGGGAAGAGCTGCTGGGAGCTGCTTTCATGGACCAATGACCCATTGCCGACTTGTGCCAAACCCCAGCGGATTTTGGCTCAGAAGTTCAGTATGTTATTGGTTCACGTTTGTTCCACAAGACTGTTAACATAAGATCTCTTAACATTTTTACGCTGATCCCTGAGCTATGGCAATTGTTTTGGTCACTTCATTCGCAAGATATGCACCTTTATAATTCCTTTTGTGTATATACACGAGAACATCATGCAAAAGTCTTTGGTTGGTCCATGCTGTCATTTGTGGTGCACGAACTCGAATCTTTATGCAAACATGTTGATAACTGTATTTATAATGTACATGGCGGATTTTCTTCCAGCTCTTTCGCATACATGAGAGCTTGAGATTTGCTGCAATGTAGGATTTCCTTGTGCAATCCCATGCATTCGATATCTTCGATATCGACATGGATAGGATTCGCAGGAGGGCCAGGCACGCGCCAAAGCTGGAATACACTTGTGCTGCAGCACCCATCAAAGCCTGCTGCACAGCACTTTGCAAAGAGAAGACAGCAAGGTGTCTGAGCTGCAGAAAGATTTGGCTGGCGCATCACGGCGCAAAGTCATCTGCAATTGAGCTGGATGTTTCTGAACCTGGCCGTACTCCCTTGATAAACCATCAGGCGTCTCAATACTTACACCTGTTGATGGGACCCATTTCATCCAATTTCTATAGAATTCTGTAATATTCTGTAGCTATACTGTAGATTTTGACAAACCATTCTGGGGGAATCCGGTAGGACAGTTTGAGTTGAAGAACCCCAATTTCCAGGTTGTGTATTTTCATATTATTTTTCAAATCCAGATATGATTCCAGAAAAGCTCATTTCCAGAAAGTGCATGATCAATTTCTGAATATATACTGTATATATATATATTATATTGTATATATATACATGTATTATGTATATTATAATACATATATATATACATATAATATTATATATATTATATTATATATATATTATATATATATCATATATATTATATATTATATATTATATATTATAGTATATATATACATATTATATTATATATTATATATTATATATATTATATACATTATATATAATAAGTATTATATATAGTATATATATTATATATTATATATATATACATTATATATATTATATATTATATATACATTATATATATTATATATATTATATTATAGATATATTATATTATATGATATATATATTATATTATATATATTATATTATATATATACTATATTATATATATTATATATATTTTATATATTATATATATATATATATTATATATTATATATATTATGTATATTATATATATCATATATTATATATACTATATATATTATATTATATATATATATTATATATATTATATGATATATATATAATATATATATAATATATATATATATTATTATATATATCATATAATATATATATAATATATATATATATAATATATATATATATAATATAATATATATATACATAATATCATATATATATATATACATTATATTATGTATGTATGTATATAATATATATATATATATATTTGATAATGAATGAGGACTACTCCTGTCATTGACCCAGGCACCCCTTGGATTCTGGGCCTTTCAACCTTGATCGCGGCTGGTCGGCCTTTGCGTCCTGTGGCAGCGAGCGCGGATGATGGGGACAGCCCTGTGGAGGAGATCAGAGCCTATAGAGCCTATTGGTTGATGCTTACCCTCTGGTAAACTAGCATAACTATGGAAAATCACATTTTTTTAATATGTTTTTAATAGGTAAATCAACTATACATGGCCATTTTCAATAGCTAGATGTTAGTTTATCAGAGGGTATACATCATTCTATGGGGATAGTGTATGGATTTTAAATTATTTTTATGGGATATAGTGCGGATATACAATATCAACATGATGATATGTCTTGTTATGTCGTGTTACGTGTTGGTTGATGATTATTGTTAAGTGGTAAACCCTGTGCCACAAACCTTCCTTTTGGGGATGATTTTTACAAGCCATTTATGGTAATGTTGGGGATCAATTATTATTGGCTTTACCACATCACACCATTATGTTTTTTTTTTTTTTTCTGGGTCATAGTTTGAGTAAACCTTGACATTATGTTTGTTTTTGTTGGCCGTTTTTTTCTTTGCTTTTTTCCTGGGGTTGAGCTGTCCACTACTACCCAACATATTGCGGATTGCATCATCATCACCATCATCATCATTATCATCGTCGTCGTCGTCATCGTCGCCATCATCAATTAATTAGCTGGGAATCCCTATTAACCAGCAACATCCAACAACTACAATTTGCACTAGACGACGAGTTTTTTCACGCTGCTTACATTAGCAACACTGGTGATCACTAGCAAGAGAGCTAATGAACATATAATGATAAAGATGATAGAGATGTATAAAAGTACATAAAAGTTCAGATTCTATGCTACATACATATTCCCTTCCCCAATGATAAAGATGTGCCATATCGGACACGATATGTGTAGCATGCAAAGGCCTGAGACGGAAAAACCAGAAGTTTTGTTGTGGGAGAATCATTTGACAGAGGACGGGATTTTTCCGTTGTTGGCTGGTACTGAAACCAGTCACTCATGTGTATATATTGTTGGCTGGTATATACATGATGAACCTGATTGGGATTATCCAACATGATGATAGGAATGCCTATGAACGCCCAATGTGATGACCTTTATTTGGGTCCTCAATCAACAATTTGGAGGATGATGGCCAACAAATTGGCATTCAATCAGCGACAATATGGCTGATGCTCAACAAATGGGCACGTTGACCATCATCCAAACAAAGGATGGGTATTTAAGCACCAGCCAAGTTGGATATTAATCAACAACAGTCAGTATATATTGAATATACGGGGATGATGACGACTGGTCAAAACCTTTGATGGTAGCAGGGGTTAGATCAATCGCTTGAATCACATACTATCATCCCAATCAATGTGGGGATCCCTGCGAAAGGGAGGGTGTCAGGGCACATGTTTGTCGGTGGTGTTGGCGACTCTACAGAACTAACATAGCGAAGCCATGGCCCATCTAGTTCGATGGTTTACCTGTTCAAACATGGCGATTTCCCAATATTTTCCATACTCATGCTAAAAATTAAACCAGAGGGGGAGTCAGAGATATTGTGGTTGTCAAGTCCATTAGCGTGCATGTGCAACATATCTGTTTCTCTGCCAGCGCAGGAGGGTTCTTTTCAACTGCTGGAAGACCAGACAAAACGCTTGGATGTGCTACTTTCAGCACTTTGGCTTCAACAACTTAGAATATTGTCTTTATATATATATTATATATATATATATGTGATATGTATATATATATATATGATGGAACAATATATATATATATATGATATGTATATATATATGATATGTATGTATGTATATATATATACATAGTTGAATAGATCCATCATATACAGTAGATCCATGAAGATCAAACGCACTTAGGCAAGATTTCTGAGGGTTTTGTTGCTAGATTGAAGAGTGTTTGCTGCAGCAGCAGCAGCAGCAGCAGCAGCAGAGCCTTGTGGATTCATCAAGCGGAACCCAAAGAAACACAACAAAACTATGATTTTTTTCAGAAAAAGGCAGAGAGGATCAGGCAAATTGTTTACATTTCTTTGACCAGATCGTCAATTTTTAAAAGTCAAGTTTGCTGGATATTCATTGAGGATGCCTCGCTTCTGAAAGTTCTTATGATTTCAACACTCTTTGACTCTGACAAGGAGCACTATGGTCAGTCGCGGAACTATTTTGAAGCATTAATTCAGCAGGGAGCTGTACGGGTGAATGGCCAGCAACGGAAAAAGTCCTTCAAGAAGTTTCGCAGTGGCGCAACTTGGCTGTCAATGGCCAGCACATCGCCAAGCTTGCCAAGCTCTTCCAAAGGTATCAAGCAACAGTGGTGTTTACCCTCTGGTAATTTAATATAGCTGAGCTATTGAAAATGGCCGGTTTATAGTTGATTTACCTATTGAAAATTGTGATTTTCCATAGTTACGCTAGTTTACCAGAGGGCAAATGGTTTGATTTTGCCAGAGTTTGGATGCGTTAAAGCTTTGATTCTTCAGAGCAAATACAAGTAAACTGCCATGTTCTTGGCCAACAGCTCTCAAGAAAAACCTTAGGGCCTGCCTGATCCTCTCACAGCTCCTAGGACGTCATTGATGTTCGCTTCCTGGTGGATATTCGAACGCTGCCTTTGGAGCCAGAAGCTATGGATTTGGAGCCATGGCAGCGGTGCAATGCTTGTGATTATTGAGGAAGCCGGATGTACATAGCAGTTAGATAGACGTAAAATAATGGAAACGATAGAAGTGGTAAACCCATTCGATGTATAGGGCACTATTTCCACATGAAGCCCCTTGAAAAGCAACCAGATACACAAAGAATGTTCAGCCCTGAAAAGCATGGCCTTCTCACTCGTGACTGAGGATATCCTTTATGAAGATGATGAACTTCTAGTGATCAACAAAGCTGCAGGTTTGGTGGTTCACCCTGCGCCCGGCAATTGGAACGGGACCTTGGTGTCTTGGACAGAGCCAGACCTTGATTCAACAAGAATCGCACTGCTTGTGGGCCATTGATGGCGCCATCGGGGCCCGCTTGTACTTGGTATTTCCCATACATTTTGAACATCATTTTAATAAAACAAGTTGGCGTGTCTGAAAATGGGGTGTACCACAAAATGGCAAGATGAATAAGGAAAAGCCTGATTGACTATCAATTTGTTGAGTCTATGTTCAGACAAACCCAGTATGACGTCCTTTTCTACTGGTTCTATCCCCATTTCCCTGCTTGCCTTGCTGAGTGCATCCGTATAGTGGGCTTGGCCCATCAAGTTGTCCTGGGATGTACATCCCCACTTTAACAAGCCTCATGATAAACATGTGTTTTCTCTAAATTTTGAAGTTCATAGCCCCCCAAAATGAAACGAATGAAATTGATGCAATGTGGTATTCACCTAATGGGACCCAATGCCATAAACCTACCATTTGGGCATGGTATATACATGTATATACCACCTATTTCTAGGAATGTTGGGGATTGTTTATTGTCAGCTTTACCCTCTGGCAATCAAACGTGCCAATGGAATATCGAAAATCCCATATATATATATATATGTGTATATATATATATAGATAGATGATTGTCCCATAGACACCTCCATTTATTGTTCAAAAATATAGAAACACACACAATATATAGCATTGGCAGTTCTTGAATGAATTATCCCATCTGTTATTTTTCCATACATATTTATATGTATATATAATATAATATATATATAATAATAATATAATATATACTATAATATATATATAGAGTATATATATATTATATAATATATATATAGTATATATAATATATATAATATATATAATATAATATAATATAATATAATATAATATAATATATATATATATATAATAATATATTATATAATATATATATATATATATACAATATATTATATTATATTATATTATATTATATTATATTATATTATATATATTATATTATATTATATATAGATATTATATTATATATATTATATTATATTATATTATATTATATATATTATTATATATATTATATAATATATATATTATATATATTATATATTATATATTATATATATAATATATACTATATATATATTATATATATATTAATATATGTTATATATAATATTACACACATATATATATATTATTATATATATTATATAACTATGGAAAATCACCCATCTAGTTTTAGAATTATTTATCTTCGTTTACCCAAGGGTATCACCTTTTGTTTCAGGTGAATGGTGTGCTGCATCACCTGGGTTTTGCCTCTTCCGAGCTCAGCACCTTACCCAACGCGGCGGAGCTGCGTCCGGGCATCGTGCATCGCTTGGATGTGGGCACCACCGGGGTCATTGCGGTGGCCAAAACGGCGTCTTGGCGCGTCTTGGGAGCCGGTAATGGGAAGATCATGGGAATATTGATACAATGGGAATTGATGGGGATTTGTACTAGGACCTTCATTTGTAGCACAATTTTTGGGTACGTGAAATTTAAGGTACGTTTCAACAAGCAATGATTTGCGATGACTGGTATACAAGTAGCCAAATTTCAGAAGCACAATTTGGTGGAAGAGCACATGTTGATGAGGGGTATGGTATATACCTGCCATACATGTTGTTCTGCAGCTAACAAGCTGGGCTTTGCCTTGGCTTCATCCTGAACAAGATGATTATATATGGAGGTTTCCTAGGTCATGGGGGTAGCCCTAAATCATCCATTCTTGTAGGATGTTCCATTATAAACCATCCAGCTATTGGGGGTCCTCATTTATGGAAACCCCCATATAATGTTCATAGTTTGGCCAGATGAGTTGTATTTCTTTTTGTTGGGACATCCACTAATATCTGAATGGACATTGGGATGTCTCAGGACACTCTCACACTTCGTGCAGAATTCTTGCCGTTTGAGAATCTTTTGTTTCTGGTTTTCCATCGCACACATTCCCAATTTGGTGGATCCAAGATGTATATATCCCATTTAGATAAATCCAAAACCATCTGAGCAAAGCCCAGTAGTCCTGGCGATTGATGAGTTGTTAGGGGATTTCTAATTGGGGTTATACAATTATGCAGCAATCTAACAACTCGTCAGCCATTCAGCCAACCAATATGTTTGGCTGTTCCATCCAACTTGTTGCTGGTTGCACAAAAACACGTGTATTGTTTATTGTCACAGTCCATTTCTTGGTCAAAGAAATTTCAATCCATGAACATCTCAGTTGTGTTTGTTGGTTTATAAACACATGTAAACCCCATCAACATCGACTGGTTCGAGATACTGTAGATGGGCAGGCGAAATCATCAGCCATTTCGCAGCCCATCCACCCGTCACCACTGAGGTTTCCAGCTACTCGGTCCTAAGCCAGGCATTTGCCCAACGAGAAGTGCAAAAGACCTACCTGGCGGTGGTGCTGGGAGGTCGACCATGGAAGATTGGGATTTCTTGATGGGAAAACTCGTGGGATTGGAATGGGATAATGGGAAAATTAATGGGATAGTTAATGGGATAGTTAATGGGATAGTTAATTGGGATATATATATATATATTACATATATATATGGGATTATGTGTAATGGGATTATGTTTTTTGAAGATGTCCAATGGCAAAACGGAATCGGTGGGAATCGGAATCCTATTGGAATATTCTGAAACCAGAGTCATACTTTTTGGGGAAAACTGTAGGTCATCACAGAGAAAACAACATGCGACACGTCATGAAACATGTCCAGCGGCCTGTCCAGCTAGGGCGCAAATCCTTTTTCGGACATCCCAAAGGCAGTGGACATCGCGCGCCTCGGATCTGAGTGGGGGAAAGGTATCGGCACTGCGACTAGAGAATGATAACAACAAAGGCACGCAAAAGTTATCGGTCTTATAGGGTAACTCTAAATCAACATGCTATGGAATGCATAGCTTATGGAGACTCGTTAAAGCTTGTTGAGACTTGTTGGGACTCTTGGATCCGGTATGATTTCCAAACGATTCCAAACGTGATACTCTGGTTGGTGGTTTCAAAAATTTGCATTTTCCTTAATATATGGGATAATCCTTCCCATTGACTATTTTTTTTTCAAGATGGTTAAAACCACCAACCCGTACTCAGATTGGTTAGCAGGGGCTCAAAAACCAGCAGCCACCAGTCACGTTTGCTCTCTCGTAGCTGAGAAAAGTCAGCAACCAGTCGTAGCAATCGGTTACTACATTTAATACTTGGGCTTACGACTTATAATTCATCCATCCATAGATTTGATGGGAATGTACCATGGCATAAAACTGCACCCTATTTGTAGAATACTTTTCTACACAACATACTTTTTCCGAAAAGTGGTTCAAAATCCTTATAAATTATTCTTCAAAAATTCCATCAAGTTCTATGTATTGTCCTGTTCTCAGTAATTTCCCTCAAACGCATCGTCGACCCTGGTGATTTCCTATGGGATCCAGGTGGAGAAGGCCATTGGCCGTTCCACCACGGATCGCCGCTTGATGACCACGCTGGACGGCGGGCGCCCTGCGCTGAGCTTCGTCCGCGGCATCGCCCGGGAGAAGGAGCTGCTGCTGGTGGAAGTGAAGCCACGAACTGGCAGGACACATCAAATTCGCGTGGCTGGGACGATGCTTGTTGTGGTTATTTCATGTTACTTGTTAATTATTAGAATCATGGTATTTTTGCTGGGTGCTTCCGACTTCCATGTATTTTTTTTCGGCAGGCTCGACTCTGATAGTGTTTGAGGTGATGGTTCTGGATGACTTGATAAAATGGTGCCGGAATTCGCCCCAAAGCGTTGAAAACAGCTTGTTATATGCGAACATGTTTGATGCTTGGAAATCTGACCTAATCAGAGCCCATATGGAACTGCTTAGCTGAGTGCTTTGTGTGACAGTTGATTGCCTTCGAATTATGCAGGTTTCAAGGGCAAACAGCGACCACTACCCTGCACGAGGTGCCCACAAATACCAACCTCTCATGTAACTGTACCCACCTGAAGGCACGTAGAATTCAACAGCTAGCCCCTCTGTCGAATTTCGCAGCGCACTGTAAGGTTCACCTGGCTGATGAGCATTCGCCAATCCTGGGAGATACTGCATATGGTTGGCACCATATGAATCGGCGCTATGCTCAATTGGCACAGCGACCCATGTGACTTGAAATTTGCCACTGTGTAGGTGCTGGAATCCGCAGGGAGGAGTCCATCAGCTCAACACTTATTGGATGTGGTATGGGTCAACAGTCAAGGTATCACAGCCGGTAGCTTTGAATATTGTTTGTACTTTTCTTGCATAGTTTTTGAGTAATTACCCCAAACCATCCTAGACACAGCTGGCTGAATGGAATCGGCAATCGATCCAACCACACCAATGGTATTGGCTGACAGAACCAGTTTTTCATGCCAATTTTAGCAATGTGTATCCGCCAACAAAACAATTTTTGGGTGATCAGAATCACCCACCGCGCAAGTAGAATGATAATGATACTAATCGAATCATAATCATCGCCACCATCCACCACCAACATCAGGCTGTATCCCATATTTTTATTTTTATTTTATTAATTTCCAACTGTTTGATTGGTTTATCTGGTTGAACAACGGTCCCTAAAGATCGTTTTTTTTTGTTTCAGGGGTTGAAGTTCACAGGGTCTGTTGGTCAAACGTTCATTGAAGCAATGCCCAAGCCTGGTTGATCAGATCCATGGTTTTCGGTGATGGGTGGAGCCACCAATTTTGCTGGTCAAATCGTCCATTTGTTAAATCATGTTACCCGCTGGTTATTTAACATAGCCATGGTATAGATGGCCCATTTATAGATGGTTTACCTATTAAAATGGTGATTTTCCATGGCTATGTTAAATAGCCAGATGGTAAATCCTATAATTTTTATTTGCTTAAAGGCTTAAACCATGTTGAAGCACCTAAATATGTCATAACAGGTCTGTTTTTTTACCCTCAGTAAACGAGCATCGCCATCGAAAATATTTTTTTTAATAGATAAATCATCGAAAAAAGTGGATCATTTGCCACCCCAAACCATTATATATTATTTTTCCATATAAGGAAAATCACAATTTTGACATATGGGTGGTGTTTCTTGAAATGGAGGATCCTCAAGTTACCATAGGTTTCAATTAACACTATAGTTTGGTCATCCATGCCTTGGATGATTTGGAGGTAATTTCTCATCAAATTCCCATGATTTGTTCATTTTTTCCATGGGAAAATCAGCATCTTAACATCTTCCCATGAAAAAAATAGCAATCTTTCCATGGGAAAGACATACATAGCCTACATAGCCTACATCGCCATCGTCGCCAAGGCTCCACGCCTTCGAGCTCTCCCTGCAGCATCCCAGCACTGCGGAGCGCCTCACCTTTCGGGCCCCGCTGCCGGAGGACATGCGGCAGCTGATCCGACGAAGCTTGGTTTTTCGATGAGCCATGCAGCGAAAACCCGGAAAATGTCAAGGGAACGTGATGGAAAATGATGGAAACTGATTAATTAACATATTTAAAATGGTGAAACATGATGGAAGATCATTGGAAAAACACCAACAATTGGACTTGAAAGTTGAGAGAATCATGGCTTTGGTGTGGTTTGTTTTGGTACTTTTGGATGGGAGAAGAGAGTTTTTGAGAGTGGATGTTGAATTTCAGGGCTTTGGAAAGGGAGTGTATGAATGTGAGAAGATGGCAGAAACCTTTGCTAACAAGGGTAAATGGAAATCATTGAGCAATACCTATGATAAATATGTTTGTGCCTACACTGGAACATGTCTATATAGTTACTCCATTGTGACTCCTTTTTGATGATATTGATGGCCGATATTATCCATGGTGGTTTATATCCGAACTTGACAGCCTGGCCCAGATGGTCCATATTCAGTCACTATGTGCCTCTCTTGGTACATGTTTGGTGGTTGTTTTATTCATCCATGGAAATTAATCAAAGATTGCTCCAACCCGGACTCAGACTATTCCGAACCAGCTCCAAAAGCTGCCAAAGACTACGGAGGTAGTATGAAATACCAGTTCGTATATTTAAATGTAGTTACAGTCTGTTTAAATGAATTGGATTCCATATGTTTAAATGGCTGGGCGGGCCAAGGAAAGCCTTCCCGGAGGTAGTCTAAAATACCTGTTCGTATATGTTTTTCGTATATTTATATAGATGTAGTTACCGTAATTTTCCCATATTTTTACCATGAAGAACATATGAATATGTTTTTTGGGTGTACGCCTGTGTGGACCCCCAGCTGCAGCTGTGTCACCAATCTCACTGCCGGGATCATCAACAGCCCGGTGCGACCTTGAGGCATGCAGCCGGAAGTGGGTGAATCTTTGGATGAGTTCTTGTCGTAAAAAGATGAGAGATGCGACTGCCTCCGTGGGATTGAAGAGAGATGCAGTTTGCCTTATGGTATTTCAACAAATAGCTATAGAACATGGACTTTTTAGTTCCATGATTTAGCCATTAAAGATTCGAATGTTAGATTTCACATTCCCGCTCCAGCTCAAAGGTACGTGTCTCCCTCAAAAAAATTGCTTTTCCCTAGATCTAGTATATTATATGGTTGGGATTGCATAGGTATATATATATATGATGAAGCTCAAAGCTACCTTGCTGGCTCACTGCCTCCTTGCTAGCTCAAAGCTCAAAGCTACCTTGCTGTCTCAGTGCCACGTAGCTGGCTCAGTGCCACGTAGCTGGCTCAATGCCACGTAGCTGGCTCAGCGCCTCGTAGCTGGCTCAGCGCCACGTAGCTGGCTCAATTTTTTTAGCGGAAAAAAAAAAAACTCGCAGAAATTGAGCCGGCTACATGCCCTTGAGCCGGCTCGCCAATGCGTCATGAACCCGGCCAATACATAGCTAGTATTCGTTTTGATGCTCTCACATTCGTCCGCCAGCTCAACGTGACGTAGCTGGCTCAATTTCTGCGAGGTTTTTTTTTTCTTTTTTTTTTTCGCTAAAAAAATTGAGCCAGCTCGATGCCATTGAGCTAGCTCGATGCCCCTGAGCCAGCTACGTGGCATTGAGCGAGCTCGATGGTGCTGAGCCAGCTCGTTGCAGTTGAGCGAGCTCGCAGAAACTTCCCAATCTGTTAAATTGCATTAAATTGCCAGGTTCAATCCCCACTGATTACTTTAGTACTAGATATGGTACCTCTGAAAAAGCCCAAGGTGACTGTCAAAACATACCCCTGATGAAATTGAGCCAGCTACATGTTTTGAGCTAGATCGAAAAAATGGAAGATTGGGAATTCCAACATTCAAAAGATGGTGCTTTTCCATAGCTACATGTTAAAATACAAGAGGGTACCATTCAGATTACAAATTGCTAGGTTTGTAATCTTGGCATCTTGGCAATCAAAATAACGACCTGTCAACCTTCACCACCCAGATGGGCAGCCATAGACAGTCGCAGTTGACGTCAATCCCCAACAGCACAGTACAAGGTTTAATCATTCTGTTTGGGCAGAAGAAGAACATCAGTCTGAAACTTCTGAGCTTCTTCCCTTATCTTCCTGGCAATTCTGATTCCTGTGACCGCACCCAGGTTGGGGAGCTGCCACGTGCAGTCGGTGCCTTCGTGCTGCCAGGCATGGAGTGGGTGAAGCAGGACCTGCAGGACCACGTAGCCTTTGGTATTATGATTTCAGGTTTATATATGGGCTTCGTGAATTTCTGTTCATTATTATTTATCCGATGAATATCCCCGATTTATATCCAGATGACATGCTCAGAAGGTGATTATTCTATAATACAAGAAAGGGAAGTCCCAATACCATTGTTTTGACTGCCTAAGGGTTATCCAATGGTGAAGACGATGGTGATGGAAGGTTGGCCTTTGAATGTCCAATAAACAGTTTGCCAAGGGCATGGTGCAAGGAAACTCTGTTGTTTTTCTTCAACATTTCTGTTCAAATGATTCAACAAAGATGGCCCAAAGATGGCCTGAACTAGAGCAGCTAGAGCAGCTAGAGTCTTGGGTGAATTTCGTCCGTGATGTGAATGTATTGCATCAATCGCCGGCCTCCTGCGAGGTGTTACTCAGACGCAGTGGCAACGCCGGACCAATCGCACCTTGCAGCACTATTCCGTACGGAAGTCGTTTGTCAGGCCAAACGCATGTTGAAGCGAGCCGTGCGATCTTCTACACACCTTGATTCCAAGTAAGATATAATTTGTATTAATTTGTGAATTAATGGCAAGATCTGCGAAGTGTCATCGAAACTTGCACATAACTTACTTCAACGATGCGCCGTTCTGCTTTCCACGGATGCGCTTGAGGGCACCTGAGAGGAGTCCCAATGCTGGTCTTCGCTCCTCGGTCCAACGCCTGTTTTTGGTGGTGGTTTCTGTGGTTCAGCCTTGCTCTTCCATCAGAATGGTGAATCAAAACTTGAGCTGTTTGCATGTTGCAATCGCTTTCCTGCATCAATACCATCCCCCTAACAACATAGACGGGATCCTTTCCACTTGGGTAAGTAGGCTTCCAACCCCTACTGGCATGGATATTTCAGAAAATTGAGAACTAGAAACCATATAAACATAATTATGGTGTTTCCATGGTTGTTCAATGTTTTTTTACCATCGAAAAAAAAGGGCGTTCCATCATCGGTTTCCTGCGGATTTTCCCATCATCGCAGCTGGTTTTTCCGCTTTTCGCCAACCAGGAAGTGACGGGCCATCCCCTGGAGAGGTCGTTGAGGTTGGAGCTGTTGGAGTCCTTCAGCACTACTATATAATATTATATACATATTATATTATATTATAGTATGACTTATGACGGTATACATATTAATATATTAGTTATATAATATATATATATAATTATATACGTAAAAATACAATATTATATATATAGATGTAACGTGTTATATATATATATAATTATACATATTAACACATCTACATCATATGTACGTATATGTACATAATTATATGTGTATACGTATAAATCATACCTTGGTCAGAAGTGAGCAGCAAGGCACTTGTCGGACTTGTCCATGGCATGCAACTCCCCAGGGTGGTGAATGCAGGTGCTGGGCCAGCAAGATCTTGAATCCTACCCGCGGCTTCAACGTCCCTTCATTGACAGGCCTGGCTGTTCACGAGATGGTGATCCCGACAACCAGAGCCACCAATATTTCAAACCGTGAGATTGAATCGACAAGGGGATGCAAGGGACTTATATTTAGGTTGTTCATACTTCAGGGGCTGATGTAGGGGGATGCAAGTCTGGATGGATTCCGGGGGGGCTTCTTCGAAGCTGAAAAGATGAATTTTGCCACTTAGAAGCTCTTAGAAGCAGAAGGGTTCTAAGAAGCTAAACATACAATTTAAATCAAAAAGAAAACTTATCTTCTAAGAAGGCCTCTACTTCTAAGAGGCTGCTTCTAAGAAGCAAAACCCTTCTAAGAAGCCCATGCAGCTTCTAAGTGCTTCCGCGAAGCAAAAAACGCATCCATCCCGCGTTCCCACCAGAACTGCGTCCCCTTAGATTGGGTCCTCAATACTATGTTGTAATATGGCTCATCTTTTCATATGCTTATCCCGAAACAAAGTGATCTAATAGACTCTACCACATTTTCCGCCCAGTTCACTCATTTTTTTGCTGTTTTGAGGGATCCCTGTGGCGCCACCCATAGTTGTCCATTCTTCACACTGGTAAGTTCATTCACAAGCAATGGGCACACATGATTGCAAATGACAACCAAACAAGCCGCCCAAAAACGACAGACACATAGAACCAAACCATTTATATTATATCTATCATTATCTATCATTATCTTTCACATTCTATCACACTATTTTAGAATCGGAATGTGCTCCTGTCTGCCTTTTTTTTTCCTGGGCTTCATCCAATGCTGTCAGGATTTGGCTCACGGCCAAAGCGGGCAACGGTGGAGAGCCCTTGCCCAATGCCTTGAGACGGCCTCATTTGCCCAAAGGTGGGGATAACCGAAGGGAATATCCCCTGGATATCCCTGGATTATATGGGATGAAATATGGGATGAAATATGGGTTATGGATTACAAACCACGGATCCGATTCGTGGGATGCATCAATGATGGATGTAGGTGATGTTTCCCCTATGATTTCCAGCTTTCAAATACCTGGATGGAGAAAAGATGAGAAAAGTACCATGATTTTGCGCAAGATTCACCCTTGAACCGAGGGACCAAAAAGGTCCAAGTCCATGGTCTTCCAATTTGATGTGGATCAAGGGCAAGAAAGGGAGACATCTCTCTGTGGACTTGATACATGTGCACCATGACCATGCTTACCCTTTGGTATCCTTTGGTAATACAACATGGCTAGCTGGAGAAGCTCCCATTTAGTTCGCTGACTTTCCCATGAAAACCCATATTCATCAGATTTCCCGGCTAGCCACACGAGGGATTCCGCATTTTTCTATATTGCGTGATGGTCATCGATTCATCGGGATTTACCATGTTTGGATTCCCAATCTGAGATGGATCATTCCCATAGCATTCATCATATTCATCCCACTAAGTTGACCATGGCACGACCCGTGTCAGGTCCCGGATATGGAGGACACGGTGGATCTGTGGTGCTCAAAGCCACATCGCAGATCGAAAGCTTCCTCGATGTCCCTGAGAAGCTCCGGGCGGAGCATGGCGGCGATGGCCACGACACCAAGCGCGGCAAACACGGGGAGGACTATGTGCTCCAGGCCCAGCGATGCGTCGATCTGAAAAAAGCGTGGGTCTTTATTGTGTTGCTGGTTGGTGGTTTGGAACATGGCTTTTATTTTTCCATATATTGGGAATAATACTCCCATTTGACTAATATTTTTCAGAGGGGTTGAAACCACCAACCAGTGTTGTTTTACTATACATATTTTAATGTGAATCGGGCCTTTCCATGGCTCACATCGCTGTGCTAAAGGGTTTGAAATCTATTTCAGAACGTGTGTATTGATGTGAATACAGCGGTTTCAGTTTCAAGATATCCAAAATATCTTTGTCTCTGCTGGGTCACTGGCTCAGGCCCAAGAGGTTTCAGTGGAGCAAATGAAAAAGCCCGTGTATTAGATTCGAATGAAAAACCCAAGAATAAACCATTCCCGATCCCAAATGATCCCCAATGGGATCCAAGTGGTAGGTTACTGGGGCGGTTTATCATTAATTTCCTGGCCTTAATCTGGCGGCTTCTGGGGACAAATCTTCTAAAGCCTGGGAGGTTCCCATTGGCACCATCGTTCGCGAGCGAGTTTTCAGTGGGGAACGAACACAGGAAGGCCGCCGCATTTTCCTGCCACAGTTTAGGTATCAGTTTCTTGGTCTCAAAAGGCAGCTCCAGTCCACCGGCCACCTACGCCCCCATGGTATCCACCCCCCCTCCATACATACATACATACAGACAGACAAACAGACAGACATACAGACATACATACATAAATCCCTACCTGCATGTATACATACCTTCGTACATACCCGCCTACCTACATAAATACAAAGCCACATATATGCATACCTACGTTCATACATTCCTACCTACATACATTCCTGCCTACCTACATACATAATATACATACATGCATACATATAGACATACATACCCACCTACATCCATTCTTACCAACCTACCTACATACATCCTTACCTTCATATACATGTATGTATCCATTCATACATACATATATACCTACCTAGATACATACCACATACCCCCCACATACCCGCACATACCCCCACATACCCCCACCACAGGGGGGGAAGGGGGGGTTGCGAGGGCTGGTACATATATACATATATATGTCGCTTCTGAGATCTGCAATGAGGGTCACTGTTCATTGCCCAGATAAAAGTTATATTGAAACACATATGTAAGTTGGTAGAAACATGTGGAAACCCGGCTTGAGACTTAAGTAGCCATGTGGAGGAAGCTTTTGGAGTGCATGTATTTGTTGGTGCTACTTTGGAGTTTGCTAGTTGTTTCTTATTTCACATCCACTGTTTTCACATTATGATATGTTGACTTTTGTTGCCATGTCCACTACTCAGGTTTCTTAGACATCACGACACCTTCATAGTGGCGCGCGGTGGCATTGGTGGCGTTGGGCCCAAATCCTTCAAGAAAGGTACCTTTGTGGCATCAGAAGAATGTCTATAGCGACATTTGCGACTTCATTGTGGACCCTTCACTCCATAAATTGATGGTTTGTCAGTATCAATATTGAAAACCAGCGAAACAATGAATATATAGATATTTCAATAAAAACAACTCTGGTTTAGGACGGTCTGTGATTGATTGTGAACGTTGCGAATGGGATAGCATGCTGATTATGGAGGAAAACACCTTTCCTATGGTCCGTTGATTAGGCTTGCCATGGCTTGTCCAAATCCTGGAACCTGACACCGTGCATTTTTTTTCCAGCTTGCTTCATTGCTCGTGTGTTCGACTTTGACAGAGGATCCATGTTTCGGTGCTGGGTCAATAAATTGTTGGTGTCTCTGAATAGGGCCTTTTGTTTTCAGCGTCGTATTGTATATCAGAAACATCCAAGATCTCAACTGATAGTTGTGCTGACCATTCAACATGTTATGGCTATACAAGAGGTGCATGGCAGTGCATGGGTTAGGTGGGCTTGAATGCTTTCCTAAAGTTCTCAGGAAGTGGCTTACCAAATAGAGCAGTGTTGAAAACCCTCATGTTTATTGGGTCATTGTACTCCCATGTATGGGAGATTGATCCCTGTGGACGACTACAATTTATCAGGTAACTATCCAGTAGAAAAGATCTTCACCATCGTTTTCAATAGACAGTGCTCAACAAATTCCTGCCTAAAAATGGTTCGCCCCTTGTGGCTCCGGATGTTTGTGGCTCCATTGTTTGGGAAGCCGCAATTTTTCTGGCCGAGGTGACAGTCGCAGGGGTACTCCTGGGCAGAGGCGCCAGAGAACCGAGCTATGTGAGCTGTGTGTGTTTTTTGTCGAAAATCCCAATGAATATAACCTAATAATATAACCTAATCCAAGTACCTTCTTAGGAAGTATGAATGGGGTATGTTTTGGGGGGTTAAGGACCTTCTCAGAAAGTGTTTGGATCCATAGGGATACACTAATGTGTTCAACAAATTGGTGAATAATTTTTTTGCCAACTATTTCAATGAAAAATCCAGCGATTCCCAATGATTCAATGTTCAACTGGTGACTCCTCTATTTCTTCAGAGTGAACTGGTCCTGGCCCCCTGCAGGACGCGCTTGGAACTTGAGTTAAGGGTCCTGAACGACGTGGCGTTGATTGGAATGCCCAATGCTGGGAAGACCTCCTTGTTGGTGCGCTTTGAAGGGCGGCGTTGGTCATTGGGCCCCGGTTGGGAATTGAGGTTTGGAAGCCAGCATCCGCCTCAAGCCACAGTCTTACAGTAATTATCATCGGTGTCTTTTCCCACTGGTCAGTCAACAGAGTAACCCCATGTTTCGCAAGATAACTATCCATGAGTTCACTTAACCGGCTCTTCTATTTTTCTCATTTCAGGACATGTTTGTGGCAACATGGGTTTGTCGAAAAATTGCGTACCCGCTTCCATGCATTATTCCCCATGAAAGTAGCCATAGCTTGAGGGTCTCCCATTTTCAGACAAACCCCACCATCATGTTGGTTATATAGACTTACTGAATTATATCCCCATCATAACCCGATCATAGACGTCATATCCCTATCACTAGCATTCATTCTCCCTATGAAATCACCATGTTTGTAGGATATTGTTGGTGATCTAGACTTATCTCATGTATATCCCCATCATATCCCTATGAAATCACCATTTTGCGCCCAAAACCCAGAGCCTCCAGCCAGTTCCGATTGCTCCGATCGCACAGGCGGCCATGAGCCGAGCGCACACGCGAATTGGACCAGAGGAGTTCAGCACCACCAGGCTGCGGGTTTCCATCAATGGGGGTACCAAAAAAAAATGGATGGTTGATAATGGACAATCATTTTATTGATGATTTCAGGGGTAGCCCTGTTTTAGGAAACCTATGGATATATATATATATATACGTACACTATATATATATATTATTTGATTTGTTTATATGTTATTATGAAATTTAGGATATATGATATATATATATATGATATATATATATGTATATATATATATAATGATCCATAATCAATTTCATGGTGATTTAATAGGGGGATATATATATATAGGGATGATCAATGGAGTTGTGTGATTCAATGCCTGTAACATTGAACTGTACAAACACCGCAAGAAACCATGGTTATATCGCTTATTGGCACCAATAAAGATGGGTGGTGTTAAAATTATGGGAATGGGATTAATTTCAAGAAAACTGATGACCTTGGGCTTTCATCTTAATCTTGCGTAATCAACCAGAATGGAGTTAGACATGGGATTTGACCTGTTTTTTCCTGGAAAATCTCCTCAAAACCCGTGGTCTTTACCCCCAAATTGATAGGCAGTTCCGGAGACAAAAACAGCAGGGGCCAGGGGCCATTTCTTGGAAGATGTGGTATGTTGGATGGATGGACATGTTCAAATCCAGTGGCAGATATGGGATGTTTAACTTTGACTTTGACATTGATTCATACGCATGTGTCTCAAAATTCTGCAGTTGATTTGGACTCTGGGTCTACTGCTGTATAATTACTCGAAATACATTAGAATACTGCATATGTTATTGAACTATCAGAACCCCTGTACACGTGTTGATTCCAGCTTTGCAAGATCGGAGGACCGCATCCGTCTTTGGACCCCAAAAAGATGACTTTGCCAGATGAACCGCTGCAATTAAAATTACATCTGCCAAGCTGACACATGGACAATAACTGATATACCCTCTGGTAAACTAACATAACTATGGAAAATCACCATTTTTCATGGGAAAATCCACTATAAATGGTTATTTTCCATAGTTATGTTAGTTTACCAGAGGGTAGCTGATGCCTGGATATGCCCGTTTTTACCGGTTTTAAACGTCCAGAGTTGCTGAGAGCCAGGCCTCACGTGGGCGTGATTCGTTTCAGAGATCGACGCTTGTCAGCACTGTATGACCATGGTGAGTGATCTAGCATTGGAGTTGATATTTGCGCCGAGGTTTCTGTGGAACCCGAGAAATGAACTTTGAACCAACCGTCGTAGAAGGGGAATTTTGTCTAGTGTTGACGGGTAAAGTCGTGAATGTTTCTGTTTGAGCATGCAAGTGCTTCAGACGCTCGTACCATTCGGTACCTGTTTGTCACCTGGAAACAGATGTTGAAGGTTGTTGAAGACCGGGATAAACACTTGATCCTACCTTGAATGTGCCCTGACTTGTTCGGATCTCTGATATCTATTGATATCTCCTTTCACTGACAAACCTGTTGCCAGTTCGAACGGTTCCATAGCTACTGGGGATCTCACTCGCAGCACTGCAGGTGTGGAAGTCTCCATTTGCGACCTGCCTGGTTTGAAGCGAGGGGCCCACGACGAAGCTTGGCAAGGTGATGGATTCGGCGTTGGAACCCTGGCAATCATGTAGGAAACATCGTCGAGAACATCCTGGCAAAACTTATGTCTTTGGGGAGTCCTTATACTTGTGGATTTGATATGTACTACCAAAAACATCCAAAAACACTCATGATATAATTTGGATTGTTGCGGAAATGCCACAAGTATCCATACGTGCAATTCATCACTGGTATGCCATCGTTTGTTTTGGAGACATACACCGCCAAGTCTCCAAAATTGATAGGGACTTTGAGTGTATCATACAGTAGGTATTTCCGTTCATCTTGTTTTATTTTGTTTTGATGTTCGACTGTGGTAGCGGTTGGGTTTCTGCCCGCAGTTTGAGAACCCACTCGCCCTGTGATATTGCGACCTCTCCTGCAAGACTGTAGGACAAGCTGATGGGACGTCGAATTCTGCGTCACACCTACCGCTCGCGAGCTCTGGCTTTCGTGGTGAACGTTGCCAGGGGAGAGAGATCTGAGGAAGACGTTCCTGCAATGCACGTGGACATGCCGGACATAACATGCAGATTGAGAAAGTGGAAAAAACACGTTGAAGGTGTATGCAATATATGCAATTGGATATGAGTAGGACGACTGCTTTCTACTTTCTACATTTTTCTACAGTGCTTTCGGTGGCCATAGGTGACCTATTTCCCACAGAAAAGTGTTGTAAACCACAGCGGGATGAGCCAACTCTGTCAGGTTCTTGAAGAGGTGGAGATGCTTCGCCAGGACCAAAATCCTGGAGAATACTCAGTTGAACCGGCATGGAGTGGTTTATCCCCAAGATTCCATCGGTATGGGCGAAAACCAAGCAAGTATAGTGAACTCAGGAGTGGGATTTGGGCCTGCAATTTTTTCCGGAGGAAGCGCTGGAGTTCGATCCTTTGAATCGCGAAAAGCCTTGGATGGTCATTGGAACAAAGTGTGACATGCTTCACCGTGATCCTTTGCCTCCTGGATGCATCACATGAGGGACACACTGTTGAAACCTACCTGAAGCTGGTATAAGCTGGTTGTTTTTGTTAACATGGCAGTGGAAAATATCAACTTTTGATGGAACATATGGATACATATGGAGTAATCATCCCCAAAAAACTGGATTTTCCACTATGCCAGGTCAAATGACTGGATGTACCATGCATTTTTCAATTCTCCACTGGGATGTCCAATATTTGTGGCTATTTATTTAAAATAGCACCTTGAATATCTTGTTTGTTGGATGGTTAACTGGTTACTGGTTGACCATGGTTAACCTCCCAAGAGCCGAGTCTTGTGGATGATCCATGGAGGTTTCACTTGGATTCCCTCTTTTACCGTCTTCGCGCTCGCTACGACGACGACATCCCCGTGGTGGGCACGTCATCACGCTTTGGGCTGGGTCTCAATCGCTGTGTCAGGAGTCTGCCCAGGTCTGGGGTGGGTATCGCCAATAAATCATCCCCCAATAATATGACAATATTTGGGTATAAACCATCCCCAAATGGTAGGTTTATATGGCATTGGGTTTATCACATATAGCTACATATACTTACTTCAATGGCACATCCATGTTCACCCTTTTCATCCATATCTGTACTACCTTGGTATAGTAGGTAAGAGGGTTTGACCCCTCCATTCCAAGCTCTTTTTCCAATGGTGTTTTTCTCTGAATAAAGTTACCAAAGACCTAAACTGAACCTGACATACAAGTCCTGGGACGGTCCCTGGGCTCATTCATCGAAGTTACCCATGACTCCTGGATGACTTTATAATTGAGGGACGCAGCAAGGAACACCAACCTTCCCAGTCGTGAGAAGGATGCACTCTTGGATGCTCTTTCCTGGTTTCAGTTGAACATAGTTGAAAAAATCTTCCAAGAAGCATAGGACCTTGCGACAGTTGGTCTATCCCGACATGTTGGAGCCTCGCTACCGGCTGGGCGCTGATCCTATCTTGAGGTTTCCGCCCAAGGCGTGTGGGAATTTGGATCCTGATTTCCGACAGTTTCAGACTCTTTCTCGATCTTTCACAGTCTTTCATGACGGTATCTCATTCATGACCAGGACCATGTCTACTTTGTTATTTCATGTGTATAATTGTAATTAATTGTATACATATATTATATATAATTATTGATCGATCTAAAGGTCCGTGTGAAGAGTTTTCATTGCGAAGACCGTTCATGTTTTGCTGGGAACCCCTGCGGAAGTTTTTTGCGAGTTCGTGAAAGTTTTTTTTTCGCGAAAGTTTCGCGAAAGTTGGATATTATGAATCATTAATTGTATGCATATATACAGCTTGTTACTACCACCTCCTGCCGCCCGCCCGGGAGTCCGGCAGGAGAAGGGCACCGCACATTTACCTTTCCCTTTATAGGTAGCAGCCGAGCTTCCGAAGGTAAGGCTTCGCCACGGCCAAATATCATGGTCTTGAAGCACATCCTTGGACCTACCGCTGGTACTGCCTAACGTTGCTTTCTGAAGTCTCAAGAAACAAGCTCCACATGCAGCGGCCAAACTTCCAAAAGTGAAGCTTTGCGAGAGCCAAACGCCAAGGCCCCTGGTGTTTGCTTTTCCTCCGAGACCCCCCTGCTGATGGCTGGGGTCTTCTGATTTTCGCGAAAGTTCCGCGAAGCGAAGGAGCGGGCGAGAGCCAAAAGTGCATTTTGGCCCAGCAAGCCTTGCAAAAAAAATTGCCTAATCAGCAAAAACCTGTCCTGACAAGGGGGATTCCGTGATGCTAGCTGCATGTTTGCAATGCCTATGAACACATGATCCGTGATAATTTGGTGTAATTTGGCAGGTGGTTAATGAATATTAATGAATCTGCAAAAGAGAGGAACTGTTGCTCAACATGATTCCGCGAAAGATAAGCATGGAGTTCGCGAAAGTTTCGCGAAAGTAAATTATTCCTGAAGAATGGCCATGGCCGGATGAAGAATTTTGATCAACAACCAATTATATAAGTATATTGATATATTTATAATATTTTATTGTTATTATAATTATTATACACATTCATCATCATTTTATCAGCATAGTTTTCCCGCAACTTTTATTCACCAGGTTCTCCACGGGCCCTACACCGGGCCCATTCCATCGCTGGGCGAGTACCAGCCGCACCCACCACCTCCGGCACCAGCTGCCATAGTGGGGTCGCAGCCAAAGAAGCTGGAGCCCTGAAGAGCCGCAAAAAAACATGCCGGATGAAGGCTCTTGTTGGAGGGATATATGAGTTCATGCAATGTTTTTTTTGGTATTGTGTGGGTTATATCGTGTGTAATTTCAAATCAATATAGGAATGGTTTGATGCTGGAGCTAAAGTAGTAACAGCGGGGACCGTGGAACTATGCAAGATCTGTGCTGCACTTCCAGGATCGACTCGAGACATCTTGAGACTCCATTGTAGGACATGTTGCTGCCGCTGTCGCATCAGTCACCCGTTGAAGTGACAATCTGCACAAGCAAACTGGCAACAAAAGAGAAAAACTAAACAACCCACTGCCGGATGCTAATGTTGAAGTGGAAGATTAAAAGAACATTGAAATTCGACATCATATGACCTAATGACGATGTAAAAACAATAATAAACCATCCCCAACATTCCCATTTTTTCTATTAAATCAGGATGACATAGGTGGGATTCACCATTCCCAAATGGTAGGTTTATGACATTAAGTTTGCCACATGAAGATATTTGGCTGCCTGAGAGGTCATGATATGCCTGTGATGGAAGCCAGCTGAGCAGCTGAGCAAGTTACAGAAAAAAATGCAAATATCATCAACATAATCATCGATAAATTTCAATGGACCCATCCAGGTATCATCAACCATCAATTCCAAAACAACACCTGTCAAAGTGATGGTCCAAACACGCCAGCAACAGGGCTGCCCCCAGCTGCCCCTTGTTTCAATCCCCGATGTCGACGGAAGATCAAGCCTTGGTCGCCATTGCGAAGTTCCTGAAAGGTGACCTGGAGAAATGGTTGCGATGCGATGAGACAAGGGAAACTACCTGGAAGTTTCTAAACCAGTCAGTGGGATGTTATATGTTATATATGTGAAAATTATGGGGTATTAAATTTCACGAGCTCCTGGGATTTTGTGATTTTTAGGGAATATTGGATATCAAGGTCAAGATGCAATATGTGGTGCAGTGTACGCGCACAAGGGTGGCACCAAAAAACTTAAGCGTCATGGTTTGCACGGGTTTGCACTGGATCAGCCTTCCATAAATGGAATTGGTCCAATTAATCGTTCAGAAAAAATGAAACGGTCGGAAACGGTCGGAAACAGTCGGAAACGGTCGGAAACGGTCGGAAACATGATCAGTCCAAAACTTGTCCAACCCGCATTTTTTTTAAAATAAGCATTTCCGCGCAATGCCGTTTTTTTTTTTGAAGGTCCAAAGGTGTCCAAGGGGAAACGGTTGGAAACAGTCGGAGATCGCACCTTCGCTCGGCAAAAAAATAGTTGTTTTGTAGCATATCTTCATGAAAAATGTTTGAAAATTGTGTAAAAACATGTCTTTTTTGCCAACGAAGGTGCGATCTCCGACTGTTGCCAACCGTTTCCCCTTGGACACCTTTGGACCTTCAAAAAAAAAAAACGGCATTGCGCGGAAATGCTTATTTAAAAAAAAATGCGGGTTGGACAAGTTTTGGCCTGATCATGTTTCCGACCGTTTCCGACCGTTTCATTTTTTCTGAACGATTAATTGGACCAATTCCATTTATGGAAGGCTGATCCAGTGCAAACCCGTGCAAACCATGACGCTTAAGTTTTTTGGTGCCACCCTTGTGCGCGTACACTGCACCACATATTGCATCTTGACCTTGATATCCAATATTCCCTAAAAATCACAAAATCCCAGGAGCTCGTGAAATTTAATATTATGGGGCATTCATTTAAAAACATGGGGTCATATATGGGAAGTTGGGAAGTACATACTTTGATATCGGAAATTTTGGGGTACGGAACATCCACGAATCTTGAAAGTCAAGTGTTTCCCTGCACTGTAGAGTGCTTCTTTGGTGAAGAATTATGTTGATGGTCAACCAAAATCTGCAAAGGCTGTATGTTTGCTGCTTGCACATTAATCATGCCCTTAAGATAAAAGTACAGAAACTGGTCTGGCTATACAGGTGTGTCTGAAATCTAGTGGTTTATCACCATGGTCCCTATTAAGATGCCCATAACTTGGTGGTATTACTCCATTTTCAGACATCACCCACACATGATGGCTCACAGACTCTTATTCCAAACATTCGAACATTTTTTTCTCTAGAAGTTTTGCCTGGTCTTGTCCTTGGTATAGTAGTCATTAGTCATTTGAGCGTTTTTGTCAAATTCAATGGCGGCCTGCACAGCCCTCAATCATCAGCCGCTTTTACTAGTAGGCAAAGGAATGATGTTCCACCAGCAGATCTGATCAGCTCTTTTTGTAGACGCCTTGACCTGCAGTTCACCTGATTGAAACATATTGAAAAGCAAACTGGAGAGGAGCACACGAGGATTTTGCAGGTGGCGGGAGGATTGATAAGTGCCAAAGGCATTGGTCAGTCTTCTTCTTCGTTTGTGAGCTCCGAAGTCTTGGTTAGACTGCGCTCGACGTGAAACTGAGTTCAATGCAAACAGACCTGCCATGACCTGCCGCATCTTGGCCAGTTTTTTTTTGTGAGAATAAACAAAAAAAAACGCACACAAGGGATTGGCTGGCCTGCATGCCACTGGCTAGCTACGGGATGTTACGGGTATTGTCAGGCTAAGGGACTTGCAACTTCTGTAGCCTTTGGGCTGCATCCAGATCTGAAATGAACGCCATCAGAGTTTCAGGCACGTCTCGACGTGGTCGGCAATGAGACCAGTGACGTTCAACATCGTTCAGAAATGAAACAGCAAGTCCGAAGCTCATGTTGGAAACGTATTTGTTTTGTCCTGATGACCTGATGGCTGAAGCGATGATTGTCTGGCGCTTTGGGCAAAGGAGCACATGTTCAGCTTGGAACCTGGGCATCCACCCAACCAAGCGGTGAGCGGCACTATGTTGACTAGGATGCACTAAAACCTGCTGCACACTGGGGTGCCGAAGAAGCCACTGCACCGGCCATATTGTCCATATGCTTGACAAGTCAGGAGTGGTTGGCACACTCGCATGCTCCAGGACAAAACGAACCCCTGCAGACAGGCAAGCTAGCGCTAACAAGAGCGCGGCAAACAGCAAAGCGTTGGCCGTATCGACCTGTCGCAGCTCAGCATTCGTCAGACCATCAACGCACCATGGCGCACCAGCATGACGCACCACCCTTGAGCCAGCAGAACTGCCCATGTCAGTGGAAATCCTTGCGCTGCTTGCAGTCCATGTCTCACCTGGAGGAGTCAGCAAGACCCCAAAAGGACCCCAAAGGCACGTGTTCCCAAATCTGCTGAAACTTCTTGTCATCCAGCATGTCGTAATGATTAGAAGGCTCCAAATCTATCAACAGCACCCGGACCTCAAGGCCTCGCGAAAGACCCTGCTGCACTGCATGTTTCAAGAAAAAGCCTTCTTGTCGGCACCCAGGATAAAGATGGGCCAGCACCACTGTATGAGGACGAACTGTTTTGGTCAGCGTTGGTCAGACAAGCTCCGCCTGCAAATCTGCTGCATGCTGCAGTTGCATCTGCCTGACTACGTGGTACGTAGTCAAGGCAGGACAAGGACGAACCGATGCAGACACAGACAGGCTATGACCAGGGACTCGCACCTGAAAAAGCAAACGCCAATCCAATCCGCCAGTGATGGCCAGCCAAGTGGGTGAGGCAGAGGCCAAAGAAAGACCAGAAGGAACCGACGCAAGAGCAAGCCATTCTGAAACACAAGCTTCGAAGTGCAAACAGCATTGGAGGCGAGACAAAGCGGGAAGCAAATCCAGCTGCGAACACACAAAGGCGACCACACCACGCAGTCGGAAAGCATCACAAGTTGGTCAATGCCACAATTTAAAAAATAGCAACTGGTTCCTGTAAATGTTATCCCAACACCTGAAAACCATGATGTAATATCCAACATCGCCTCAATTTTTGACTGCATTATTGTATCCTGCCATATGACATATGTTTCAGGTGTATCAAATATCATTGTACGTAGCACTTCTTATACCATAATCCATATATTATTTTGCAATGTCAAACATAATATATACATATATATATATTTCTCTGATATATATATATATATATATATCGACGTGTGTCCTACATATATACACAATAATGTAATGTAAATTAACGTAACGTAACGTAACGTAATAATCTAAACTAAACTAAATCTAATCGGATCGAATCGAATCTAATCTAATCGATCTATCTATATTATACTATTATATTTATATATACATATCATTTACATACATCGTTTATATGCACTATATTTTACTATGTTCAAATCGCAGCATATAATGGTGCCATTCTGCCACCTGCAGGGTCTCCCTGAGGTTCTGGCCTGCCTGAACCGGCACGGTTGGTACACAATGCCAGGGGCAAAGGCCGGGGCTCAGGCATGAGATTTGGGTGGCCCTAAAATTGGATTAATAAACCTTGGATTTGGCTTGGGTAGATTTGGGGGTATAGACTATATAGAAACCATAATTCACACCTTTGTGCAAACTAACGACTAACATAGATGTGGAAACTCACCCTTTAAACAGGTAGTTCATTCATAAATGGATCATTTTCCATCTGGGGGTTTCTTCAGTCATGGGGGATCCCCAATATTCCAATGGTTTCAATACTAAGTTACGGTGTAATTACTCGGATGATTGCGGAGTACCCCCACGACTTAGGAAACCTTCATATGGTATCATATGGTTTTATAGAAACCATCGTGAGTAATTTGGAATACTGGAGGTTTAAGCAACTACAATTACTGTCACGGTTTATACTTGGAGGATCATCCCACGGATCGTCACTGATTTGTAGCCAGTTATAACCCATATACGGGATAAACGACTGACCAATCTAGAACGACCTCACTGATACGGGGGTATCATCAAATGGCCGCAAGGTTTCAGCCTCAGCAATGAACTTTATTTTGGGGCCTATCCAAACTTTGTTGGGCAACAACCATATAATACTGCTGGTTATATGTGTTTGTTTTCCTCTTCACCCCCATGATTCATGATGTATTCCCATATACTCCCACTATGGTTGGTACATGGTTGGTTTTAGACCCATATTTTTGCTGGCTAATATGTATGTATAGATATATCATTATATACATGTAGTTTTATGTTCATTCATCCCGATTTTATCCCACTATATCCCCATAAAAACATGGTTTTCCCATGGATGTAAGTTTGTAAATTAAGCGGTGAAATCGCGGGAATTTACACCAGGTGTTTATGATTATCTAATCAGCCCCATCATTGTAGCTGGTGATATTTATAATCCCAATTATTTGGCTGAAGTGAAATAGTTCACAAACCTGGAAATAGACTCATGGAAGTGAAGAAGCCCTACCAATGGCGTATCCGCCGCCATTGGAGTTCATCTCTTGGCCATTCAATCAGCTGGCTGTCATCGGAGGGAAATGTCAAGGATGATCAATCATCTGCATCGACCTGTTATTTTTCATCATCACAGTGCAAGTTCTTCCCATTGTCTGCGATGGAAAATCAATATATGTTGAACAGTCGAAATAACCCCAAGATACCCAAGCACCCAACTTGATCTCAAACCTGGGAAAGCATAATGTTTTTGGGATGGTTTGGCTATGGTTTGAGTGCCTAGTATTGTTTTAGTTCATCAACTAAGCCACCTGTCTCACTTCCACATTACACCTTGTCGCTTTGATTTCTTTGAAAGAGACATGGAATTTTGATGAAGGTATAGAGTTATCTACAATCTACAAGATGCTTTTTGAGCCCGATGGGTTTGTTTGACCATATTCCAAGAATTGGTTTGGGACTCAAAAACTGTGGATCTCTAAACCATTTTCCCTTGTAATCCCACAAACTCCTCGGATTTGAATCGATGTGGATGGTTAAAAATGATTTTTCAAACCATCAAAAAGATGTAATCCTCATGTTTTGTTCCCCATGTTTGTTTGCCAAAGATCAAGCAAGTGCCAGGCGAACCGGGGCTGGCCGTGCGCTTGCAGGAACTCGGCAACAAGCTATTGAGCCTGGCTGATGCCGTACCTTGGACCGTGTGAAGGTGGCCGGCCTGTCCTTGGCCAAGAATCCAACGGGTTTATTTGGAGGTTTCCTGAAATGAGGGTACCCTTAAATCATCCATGTATAAATGGATTTTCCATTATAAACCAACCATTTTGGGATGGAAACCCCCATTTTTGGGACTTTGTTTGGAACTTTGACTATGTTTGGATCTTCCGAAACTCCATGATATTATTGATGTATGGGAACATTCCATAGTTTTCCCTAGGCACGCTGTCTATTTTTGGGCAGACCCACACGACGTATGAAGAGACCCGTAGTCACCAACACGCAAAGATCAAAGAGACTTACCACTCCTGATTGCACCAACCAAGACAGGAATTTAAAATAACTTAATTAACCAAGTCGCAAACAAGAGCAAACAAGGATGTTGAGTGTCGATCAGCCAAAAATATGTGGAACTGTCATGATGTAAATTAGTGATGTATCATTCTTGAATTTATGTTGATGATAGCATTTTCTGTCATTGACTGATTGTTTGTTTATATCATTTTTGAATATTATTGATCTTTTCTTGCTGTGCCATATTTATCCCTATATAATTTCCATTTTCTTTCTTTCATTGTTGATGTCTAACATTGTTTAACCATCATTTTCTCCGTGACTGGTCAACGAAACAAATGATAGATCACATCATAGATCTTATTATTGGTATACCCTTTCTGTGGTATAGACACTATCAGTAGATATAGGTATTGAATGATATTGAACTATCATAGCTATCCATAGATACACTATCTACATAGTATAGATATGTATAGATACCTGGTTGGTTTGGAACATGACTTTTATTTTTCCATATATATTGGGAAGTTCGTAACCCCAACTGACGAAGTCCATCATTTTTAAGAGGGGTAGGTATACCACCAACCAGATACTATCATTGATCACGTGAATTTATCCAGTTCCACGGTGGTTCAACACCCCCGAGGCCGAACGTTCCAGCCGTCGCTCGGAGCGCGAGCCCGAGCCCGGCGACCGTTCCACTGGTGCCTGGACGGATCAGCTGCTGCGTCGCTTCGCAGATCAGGCGAACGCGGTGGCGGATGGGGAAGCCGTTCGAAGGCTGGTATAAGACATAGAATATATATATATATAATATATATATATATATCTACAAAAATATGTAGCGATTGAACTTAGTTTTCAGTTGTGTTAGTGAAACTTCGTACTATTAATTAATATATATATATATACACATGATATTAACACTACCCCAACAATTGGAGGTTTAACAGCAGAAATGGGCATCGTTGCGCATAGCCAACAATTACCGTCACAGGGGAGCTTACAGAGAAGAAAGGAGCCGACTGGACACGTCGGACTAATGCTGAAGAATATGTTTGGAAGGTTGAGACTTGTGGAAACCCTCCAGATCGCAAGAATCGGACAAGGAAAGCCGCAGAAGAAGGGAACCCTGATCTCTTGAGCCTATGAGAAGTTCTTGATATTGACCTAAAGGTGGAGTTTGACGATCCTGTTTTTGCTGTTCTTTATTGGTGCCTGAACCCTTTCAAAGTTGCCCGCTGTTGATCAAACATGGCAGATGAAGAATCCACCATTTAGCTCGATGGTTTTCCAGTTGAAATGCACATTTAGTTCGGGATTTCCCGTGAAAAGCGGATTTCGCCATTAACACCTTCATTTTCATTGATTGGCGATTTCCCAGCCACGTTTGCTAACACCGGGGGGTACCCATGTCGGCGGAGGCCTTAAAGCAAGAAGCCCATTTGCAGGAGGCTATGTCGCAGAGACTGGCTCCTGGGACGCAATGGCCTCGAATCAAGAAATCCTTGGTGACTGATTTCTCCAGGTTTCTTCTTTTATCTTATCTTCGTGTTATATGTTTTTTTCCGCTGAAAATAGTTTTGAGTATAGATCATTGTTTCGGCAAATTAATTGTATATATAGCGGCCTTGCAACAAGGTCACCGCACATGACAGCTGATAGCGGGAATCCTCCAAGAAATGCTTGTGGATGTATCCGGGAATCACAATTTAATTTTCCCGGAAAAAATGGATGGATTTAATCTGATCCCACCGAGGCCACCAGTCTCCGCAGCGCTTCCGTCACCTCCACCGTGACGGGAGGCGCCAGCACCCCGGACGTTGCCTCAGGGGTTCCCAGCACAGCAGTGACACCCACGGCCACACCGCTACCGTTGGAGCCATCGCCACATTATGTGCCTTGGATGGAGATCGTCAGGGGAAAATCTTTGGGGATTGGGAATATCAAGGGATTTATGGTGGTTTAACCATCATTAGATAGGCTTTAATGGGGATAGAATGGAGATATAATGTGACGAACCGAGAAAAAAATGCTGGTTCAACCATCATTCAATGGGATTTGCTGGGAATTTATGCTCTGGGTAAACTAACAGAAAAATGCAGAGGTTAGGAGGGAGCGGTGTGGAGCTAGGGGCATTCAGATTCCCAAACAAAAATGGGGAGCCAAGGAGCAACGAATTGAGTTTCCCAACCAAATGATAGCTGTGGAAAGTGACCATTTGATAGGCCAATGATTTATAAATGGGCGATTTTCCGCAAGTATTTTAGTTTGCTAGAGGGTGATCAATTAAGTTGTGCTATATATAAAACCAACAATGTTCGAAGGAAGTTTAGAAGTCAAACTTCCGACAATATGGACAGATGGAAAAGCAGAGGTGGGAAGAGTCAGAGAAAAGAAGAGAAGAAGAAAGAAGATCAGAGAAGAGAAAGAGTCAGAGGAAAGAAGATGCAGGTGCTCGAAAAGGTGGAAAAGTCGCGATTCATTATATTTTTCCAATGATTTGTGGCTCCGGAGGGTCGAAAAGTAGGCTTGCTAAAGTGGCGGGTGCGGAGCCATCTGGCCATATGAGAGATAAAAAATTGCAGGCCCTTGTGGCGCGAAGCACGTGTTCAAGTCAAAATGCACAAAGCACACCAACTCGGACCACTTTTGGAAGTTGAGATGTCGAAAAAGTGCACGCCGTTGTTGTGCGAAGCACATTTGGAAGTCAAAAGTGTTCAAAACTGACGGGTTCGGAGCACTTTTGGAAGTTGAGATGTTGAAAAAGTGCACGCCGTTGTGGCGCGAAGCACATGTCGAAGTCAAAATGTACAAAACACTTCAGCCTCGGGGCGCATTCGGAAGTTCAAATGTCGAAAAAGTGCACGCCGCCGTGGCGCGAAGCACATTTCGAAGTCAGAATACTAAAAACGCATAAAAACGCCACATGCTCGGACCATTTTGGAAGGTTCAGATGTGGTTTTGCGAGGCATGCGCAAGGGATTCTGCACCCTGCCAAAAATGAGTAAAATGTGAGGGTTTCGTAGCATTTCCAAAAACGTTGGCAGGCGTGGGACATTTGAAGAGGATTTGCAAAGATGCATTTCGCGTGGTAGGTGCAATATGTTAGGAGGTCCGGGCGCTGATTTCCTGAGAGGGGGCTGCATTTTGGAGCATCAGATCTTCAGGTCTGCTAAGATGATTTTGGTGACAGGTGCAGCACTTTATTGCGCGACAAGCGCAATACTTTGGACAGATGGAATGGAAAAATTGCAAAACGCATTGGTACGAGGCTGTCAGCTCTGAGGAAGTCTCGCAGACTTGCTTCGTTTTGATGTTGTCAACTTGGAGCAATGAGGAAGTCTCGCAGAATTCTTTCGTTTTAATTTTTGACGTTGTCAAGTTCAAAAATTAAGGAAGTCTCGCAGAATTGCTGCTTTTCTGATGTTGTCACCTTCGAAAATGGAGGAAGCCTTGCAGAATTGCTTCTTTTTCAAGCTTGCAGATTGAAGATAGACAGATAGATAAATAGATAGATAATGATAGATAGATAGATAGATAGATCGATAGATCGATAGATCGATAGATCGATAGATCGATAGATCGATAGATCGATAGATCGATAGATCGATCGATCGATCGATCGACCGATCGACCGATCGATCGATAGGTAGATAGGTAGATAGGTAGATAGGTAGATAGACAACTACAACTAGGCTACACTACTACTACAAATGCAAATGCAAAAAAACTACGCTACATTACTACGCTACACTAATTACACTACACTACACTAACTACATCTAATTACACCGCACTACACTAATTACACTACAACTACAACAACTACAGCTACAGCTACAATTTCAACTACACCACACTACACTACAATAACTAACTGCACTCCAGCACACTACAACTACAAAGACAAATGCAATTGCAACTACACTGCATTACAAAACTACGCTACACTAATTACATTATATTAATTATTACTCTACAGCTACAACTGCACATGCAACTACAATGGCAACTGCCACTAAATTGCACTACACGACACTACACTAAGTACACTACACTACATTACAACTACCACCACACTACCTTACACTACACTACACTAGACCACACTACACTATACCACACTACAGTACACAACACTACAGTACAATACAATACACTACACTAACTTCAACACACCACAACTACCACTTCTAGCTGCCACTGCAACTACACTACACTAATTCCACAACATTACAACTACAACTCCACTACACTACAACTACAACTACAACGACAAGTAACACACTACATCCAGCAGTTGTGGCAGTTGTGGTGAGGTGACCACTGCAAACGTTGCAACCACTCCAAAAAACACAACTCCAACCACCTTTCGGTCCACCAGTGGATTCGCTCTGCCTTCCGTGATTCACAGCAACCAACCTCTCCTATAGGTTCCAATTTTGAAACTTCCGCCACCGCCTTGTGCGGTACTAGTGGTATGGCAATATAAACATATACATCTATATATATTATAGGATTTAATCAACATTTGCGTTTTTTTGAATGAAACTTTATGTGGACATAGATGGGGATATGCCAGCAACACATGGGAATAGAATTGGGATATGATGGGTAATATAAAATGGACAAAATATAACGACGGAACCCATCGCGACGTGACTGGAATGATGGATTGCTGTATATACGGGATTAATTAACCCAAACTGGCTGAATTGTCTGTTCAGGCTGGTGACTTATTAGCATTTACACATGGTTTTGAGATGTCATAGTTATGGGGGTATTGATGGTTGTATGAATCATGTGGTTCTTGTTGTGTTTGAAAACAATTTCCAAACATGGAAAATTTGCGCGAGAAAATAGGGGAAAAAAAATGTTATCTGCGAAAACGGTGATTTTTCCGCATTTACATGCATTTACTCCGTCAAAAATTCCAAAAATCAACCCAACAACTTTAAGCCAGGAAATTGTGTCTTGATCCAACACAATGTTGTTTTTCTTCTACAGAAAAGACTTTTGGTTTCACGTCAAAATCGGGGGTTCACTTGCCGAACTTGTGGGAATCAGATCCTGAAGACTATATATATAACGAAGATGAATTTTGACGATTCTGTTCATATTGAAAACTACTAGGTACTAGGGTTAAGTCTTTGCATCGTGTGTTAAGTCGTAGCGGATGAGCGTCTGCCTTGCGGAAAGGCATATTGGGGAGCATCATATAACATATTGGATAAGCTATGCATGTTGTTTCTATGCTTAGATGTGTGTCTGCCATGCGTTGCTTTGTTTTCGCAACATATATGTTTGTGAGGATTGGTAAGGTTCAAATATGATAGAATAGCATGAAATAGTATGTAAAGTGATGTATTCTGGTGTATCACGTTTAAACTCAAACATTTTGGGTTAGTCATGTATGTTGTCTTTGCTCTTGGATGAGTGTGTGCCATGCGGTGCTTTTTTTTCGAGGTTCTTTGTCTATCAGCATTGGCCAGGATTCAAACATGAAAGGGTAGTATACACTATGTAAACTGATATATTTCATGGTATCATTTTATCACCATTTGGGTTACTTCTGTATTTGTTTTTTTCGTTTTTGGATGAGCGTATTCCACTGCAACTGCTTGCTGAAGCCGAAAATCTTCCAGCTCCAGGATTTGGGTAAGGGTCTGTCCCGGGTAGTTTTTGACCTCGTTTGGTACCTCGTTCGGACCTCGTTCTGACCTCGTTCGTGACCAGCCTTTGTTTGTTTTTTTTTTGTATGTTTTGTTGATTGCTTTTGCTTGCCCTGTCCGTGAAAAACCAACTGTAATCTGACCATGGTTCCTGCGCTCGCGTTTCCATGGTGTTTGGCATCGCAATTGCCGTTCCTAGACATCTTCAAATCATGTCTGTGACATTGGGTTTTCACTTATGAACTGTACCCAACATATCCATCGTCAACGCGCGTTTCCATTGTAACTTGTACACAAAACATATGTGCAAAACATGCCCTGGACATATACCTTTCACCGTCAGGCCATGCTAAACAGAACAACAAGGATCCTAAAACCCATTGCATTCCGTACGCGTTTCCGTGGTGAAACCATAAAAATGCTATGACTTAAACGGAGCTGCTATGACTTAAAACGTTCGCAGCGTTTCCATGCGAAAACAAGCCCCCTGCAATGACTTAAAACGAAATGCTATGACTTAACCCTTCCACCTGTATAAACTGAAGGAAACAAATTGATCGAAACTCGGTGAGGGTGCCCGTGTGTTTCCATCCGATTGAATCCATGATTTGGCCAGCAGTTTTTCACTTACTGCCCTCCTTTATGTATAACAAACGCAACCCAGCACATCTCTATAGCGTTAATCTTGTTCGGTGTTTCAAGATTTCGAAACCAAGTGTATCTCATTACATTCGATAAATGTATATTTTTCTTGATTTGCTCAAGGCACCAGTGTCTATCAAGATGGACAGCATGTTTGACCTACGAACGTTGATCCATAAATATACAGATTGCACATGACTCGCATGAGGGAGTTCTCAAAATACTTGCAGTATCGGACTCTCTATCTCCATTGTTTCCAAGTAAGTTTGTCTCCAAGGTGCCCCGAGAAACTGGAGTTCCTTGGCGCAAGGTTGTTACGGAAACTGGAAATTAGGGGATGGTTCTGAGGAGAGGGTGCTCAAAAAGCTGGTCAAGAGCGGTCAGAATTCGAAAGAGAACGCATTGTTTGATAGTACTTGGTACATGCAACACACTTCAATATTTTGGATCACATAAAACTTTGCCTTGGCAGCTGGATTGGCTCAGGATGTCAACTACGACCCAGATATTCCTGAAGAGTACCGTGATGAATCTTGGCATCAGGGGGTCTTTGAGAGAGATGATGGTAGTGGGACTGAAAATCTGCTGTTATTGCTGATGATGATCGTTCTGCTGGTGGTTGTGACTGGGATAGTCATTCTTAGCAGGAGGACCAAAGAACGCAAACGATCTGCTTCAATAGCAAATGGTGATGCATCACTGACATGAGCATTTCACACTTTTTTAGTGAACATTTTAGATGAACAACTGAAGATTTAAATCCTAGGCTGGGCTGAATATGGACTCAGAAATACACCTAATTTGTTCCCCTGTTGCCCAAATGCATCAGCGTACCTAAGTGACAGGGAAAGGACTTCACAGATTCCCTGAATTGGATTCAGCTAGACTCGAGTAATCTAACAGCTTGCTATGGAAGGCATGGCCCATTTATGGATGATTTACCTAGTGAACATGGTGATTTTCGCTCGATTTTCGATAGTTGTGCTCAATTGCCAGATGTTAATTTCATGTAATTTCACATTAAATCAATCCCATTAAATCACCATTAATACCCAGTAAATTACATGATAAAAAATCACTATTTACTAACCATGAAGTTCTGTTCAATTATGCAGGCTTTTCCAGAATTCCCCCTAAGACCAAGGACCTGGACCCTGGCTACCGAATTCGTCACGTCACCGAGCAAGAACTCATGGAGGCCTCCGGTATCCTCCGGTCATCAAAGGTGGCTGGGAAATCCCCAATCAAAATGGAGGTTGAGAGCTGGGAAATTCATGAGAAAATCAGGAAATGGTGGGCAATCCCGGAAACATGGAGGTTTAGAGGGAAAATCATCGAAAAAAAAAAGGGTCCGTATAGAGTCTACCATAGACAAGGCATACAATCCAGGGCAGGTCTCTGAAGTATTTTTTATCATCGAACCTCGACGATGTCAGATCAATCAGTTCATTCAGAACTGACACCAAATTGTTGTAAACCACCACAGTGCATTTCAATATACCCTCTGGTTATTTAACATAGCCATGGAAAATGGCCCATTTATAGAGTGTTTACCTATTAAAAATGGTGAGTTTCCATGGCTATGTTAGTCATAGCCAGATGGTATTCACACTATATTCACTTGGGATCTTGGGGCAATTGGCTGGGGAGGTTCCCGGGTTTCCCACCATGTTCAGACAAACCCAATATGGACATGGACGTTCGTTTACCAGTTGTTTTGATGCTCACCAAGGGTACATGGTTATGAACCATCCCCATATGTTGCATCACGCCGTAACCAATGTTGGACCGTTCGGCATATCGTCCAATCTCTGAAACTCAGATTGTCTGAAAATGTACCCCCAATTCCGGTGATCATCATAGTTTGCATCAAACGAGTTTAAAGGTGGATTTCTCCAAAAACATATATACGTGTATATATATATATATCCGTATCTCCTTAAATCATCATGTTAATCATCAGTTGAAATCCGCATGTTCCATGAATCCAAATCATGGGGTGTATCTATGCATATCTATGTATACATATATAACATAAATAAATAAATAAATAAATATATATATATATATATATATATATGTATATCATATACATTATATATATATACATCTGCCCAAATTATAGCGACGTCACCCGACGTCACCGTGAAATTAGACCTAACCTGCTGAAATAAGGTCTTTCATGTCTGGATCGCGCTATTTTCAACCGTTTGCAGCTGACACTGGCATGTGGAAGGGTTTACAGGCAATTTTATCCCACTGAGGGGCTGTTGCAGCCCAACTTTCCGAAACATGGTTCGCTCAATACTGTTCCACTTCTGGAAGGGTTGTAGGGCAGCTACCTCGCACACTTGTTCCACATGATTCATAATTTGGCCGATGAAGACTCAGGTGCATGTAAGGTGCTTTAGTTAGAGCAATGGGTACTTTGGAAAAGTTTCAGCTGCATGATTCCGTTCATTCTTTTTTGGCATTTGGAAGATTCTAGATCGTGTTCTTGATTGACTTTTAAAGAAAAATTGGGGGGGTAGAGTGTCAAAACGACAGCTCTGATCGCTCAGAGCTGCAGGCAAGGCCTGTTTTCAGTCAACAATTTCAGTCTGTGTGACTGATTTGAGCCTATGGCGGATTTGATTTCTTTCAGATAAATAGCTTCAGCTTTGGCGCCCCCGTGGAATGCCTGAACGCTTGAAGAAGGACTGCCGGCCGAGTTTTCCGCTTTTGGGCCAGCTTTTGGAGGTTTGCTTGAAAGAGTGATTTCCCATTCCAGAAGACATAGAAGAAGCAGCGCGTTCCCTTGACACTGGTTCTGGCGCAACTGCGTCAGTGAAGCCCAGCTTGGCTGCAGCTGCAGAGCCAGCTATTTCCGAAGCCCAGTATGAGGCAGCAGCTGCAGAGATTGCGACAAAGGATCGACAAAGTCTTGCAGACTCTCTGCCCAAGCCCAAGCCCCAGGCGAGGCAGTGCTACCTGGATTTGTACATGCCAATCAGCTCCGGGACTGACTTGGCTGATTTCACCGTGCACTCCACGTCCGAAGGGAAGTTGCGTCTCGCTTTCCGAAACGGAAAAGCTCGGCAAGCTGCTGTTGCATACCTTGCAACAACCCAACCTGAAGGTACCGTTGATGTTGTGAATGTGCCGCGAGGGCGGCGTCTGCAAACTGAAGGCTTTGAGCCTGGTGCCTATTTGGAAACTGGGCCGTTGGCAAAAGCCATTACAAAGTCAGCGTTCATCAAGCTTGTCAGAGACATTTTGACAGATGTGAAAAGTGCAGCGCCAAGAGATGGAAAAGATGCGGACTCAGATCCAGTCCGCATGGAATCCACAGCCTTGCACATGTTAAAGGAGGTGTCTGAAACGATGTTGACCAGATTATTTGAGGATTGCCAGACTTTTGCTACCCATGCGAAGAGGAAGACAATTTTTGTCTCTGACTTGACTTTAGCCAAGCGATGCCACCGATGAGCAAAAAAGAAGCGCCTGTCAGAGTGCCTGCTTTCATCCTAGTCTCACGACGTCAGCAAATTTTCGCGATTTTCGCGACGTCACCATATTTCAGTATGAAATAGCGAAATTCGACCTAAAGACCCTGAAATATTATAATTTGACCAGATACATATATACATATATATGATGTATATCCATCCCTTTTTTTGGTTTTGTCCAAGTCCCATTTTGCAGGAGATCCGCGAGAAGTACGAGCGCGCCCTGGCGATGTCCCCGGAGTTGATGCCCTGGGCTCAAGGGTTGATCTCCAAGGCTCCGAGAAAGGATGCATGACTCACTGGAATCATGGTTTATTTTAGGGAAATTATCCCCACACATGGCCGAACTATTCAGGTTAGTGAAATATTATCATTTATCCAGATAGTTATAAAATTTTATAGACTATACATTACTATAGTATCTATAGTTATAGACTCTACATATTCTATGATATGTGCTGTAGATCTTAAGTATATGGGAATATAGTGGAGATTTACATAGTGAACCATCATAGGGATATATAAGATTTAATGGTAAATTCATGGGATATGATGGTAGTGTATTAATGGGATAGACAATATGTAAGTGGTTTGAATTCACTGATCTATGGGACAGACACAGGAAGTTGGGAGATCCTGGGAGAACTCGGGAAATCCTCTGAGAAGTCACTGATCACCACCAGTTGATTCAGTAGGTCAAGTAGGCTTCGTCCAGCTACAACATGCTATTAGCATCTACCCTCTGGTAATTTAACATAGCTATGGAAAATCACCATTCTTAATAGGTAAATCAACTATAAATTTGGCCATTTTCCATAGCTACGTAACAAATTACCAGAGGGTAACTGTGGTTAGAACCTACTGAAAATTTCTGTGTTCACCGTCTGACCGGCTGGTTTTCTGAATCAAAAAACCTCCGATCACCATGACCGGCTGGTTTCGTTCGGTTGGCTTTGATCTTAGGATCTATTAGGGGGATGGGATTATTAGTCATTTTAAAAGATATCAAACTTCATCATAGTTAAGTCCATGTCCATTTGCCTTGAAGGAACCACACAAGTTTGAAAGGCTGGCCGTGTTTGAGATCCGAAACCTTTCAAATTCTGAGACAGGTTGACAATTTCGGCCCACCACCATAATATAAGATCATACAAGCATTTATACAGAAATCGTCAACATCCTTGCACCATCAAAGTAGCAAGTGTAAAGGATTTCAACAGTCGCACCAGGTCCCGATGTTCGTGGTAAGATTTGGTGGTTTGCATACTGTCCCGGGGCATCTGTGTCGCCTCAATTTCCGCCTGCGCTCTAACAGCATCGGGGTGATTGACCATCCACAACAATCCAACATCAGCATCACAACACCTCCAGAAGTGGGGGTATCATGATGGGTGATGGGGAGTTGATTGCACCGGGGGTTGGGCCAATCATATTTGATTTGAGTTGGTTGTATTGACCGCGGAATTTCCGATTATGCGGCCCGGATTTCCAACTAGGTGTTCTTAGCTGTATGCATGATATTGTAGATCCAGGTAACATATCATACTGAATACTGAATCATTTACTTGCTGAATTTGTGGGTAAAGAAAACATGGATGATTTGGGTATGACAACTCAAGGGTCAAAGTCATATCCGGTCAGGAGGATGCGGTGGCACCAGACGATGATGAGTTGTTAGGAGCCGTGCCGCAAAGTTTTTTTTGGTGCCAGGGTTGACATCTACAATTGATCGGCGTCGGGAATATCTGAAGTTTAGAGAGTGATGGAAAAATGGGGGTTGCTAATTTTCCAGACCAAAAATAAGTAGTAAGTTGCAATACGATCTGAAGTCTGAAGTTGCACTTACCATTTATTTTACCATTCCATTCCTGAAGTAGCAACAATATAGAATAGTATAAAGATAACATGAATCTCTGCTACACAGCTCCTTCACCGGAGTAATCCCAAAGGTCCCAGCCGGATCCAACGGGGCAGATCATGCCTTTGTTAAGCCCCAGAATGTCACCATTCGATCATTCATCCCTCAAGAACGGCAAGGCAACTTACGTGGAAATCATCCCACAAGAAAAAAGATCATCCATCCTCGAAACCAAAACCGAAACGTTCTTCATTCAGTTATTCATAACTCAAAAAACTAAAGGAAATCATCAAAAAAGGAAAACTGAAAGCCGGAATCCCTCCTAGAAACCCGGAAAACCAGACAAACAAATCCATGAAACCAAGATCGCATGAAACGTGCCGCAGGAGCTCCGAAGACGGATAGCCTTGATGAGTTGACGGGCGGCCAGAATGCCCAGACCAACTCGCCACAGCTATTGGTGGTTTCAAGGAGATGTTCACTCTGACCAGTATATTTATAGCTGTTTGATGTTGTTTGTTTCATCTACATTGATATCTACTGTAACAATTAATTAGAGTGTCATATAATTACTATATATGATATTCTAATGTATTCTACTGTGGTATTATTGTGTATTGATACATATGTCAAATGTACATATATACATGATTAGTCATTATTATGTGTATTAGGTCTCCAGTAAACTAAGTTTGCTATGGAAGCCATGGACCATTTAGTTCGAGAATTGCCCATTTATAGCTTGTTTTTTCCATAGTTATGTGAGTTTACCAGAGGTAGATCTCCATTAATTCCCATCAAAATCCATTTAATCCCCATTAATTGCCATCAAAATCAATTGAATCACAATAAAAACCCATCAAAATCTATTGAATCACAATTAATCCCCATCAAATCCATCGAATCACCATTAAGTCCCATCAAAATCCATCAAATCACCATTAATTCCCATCAAAATCCATTAAATCATCATTAATTCCCATCAAAATCCATTAAATCATTCCCCAGAAAATTGATCATTCCCCTTGGGTTTTCTTTTAATTTCTGCCAGGTGTGGCGGAAGAGCCCACCGTCTCTGCAGCGCAGTCCACGAGGTGCCCTTCTAGGGTGTTTTTGGGACTTCCATGGTGGGGAAAACCAGCATTTTTTCGGAGATCTGATGGGATATGTACAACATACATATCATATACGTATACATATACATATACATATACACATACACTTACGCATACACATACACACATACACACATACATGCATGCATGCATGCATGCATACATGCATACATGCATGCATACATGCATACATGCATACATGCATACATGCATACATGCATACATACATACATGCATACATGCATACATGCATACATGCATACATGCATACATGCACACATGCATACATGCATACATGCATACATGCATACATGCATACATGCATACATGCATACATGCATACATGCATACATGCATACATACACACATACACACATACACACATACACACATACACACACACATACACACATACACACATACACACATACACACATACACACATACACACATACACACATACACACATACATACATACATACAGACATACACACAGACATACATACATACATACACACACATACATACATACATACATACATACATACATACCCACACACATACATACACACACATACATACACACACACATACATACATACACACACAGACATACATACACAGACAGACAGACAGACATACATACATACATATATATATATATGATATACATATGATATACATATATATATATATATTGTATATATCTACAATGTATACATATACATCATATTATATATATGTATACATCATGTATGTGTATCTATATATAATATACATATATATATATATATTATTTTATATCTATACATGTACGGATATATAAAAATATAATATGTATTTATGTAACCTACAATATGAAGGGGAATCATGGGAATACAGTACCGGGATATCCGAAGATTTACGGCAAGTGACAAGTGGGGTGAAAGTGACCATCAACCGTGATATTTTGGCGGACCCTCTCTTAAGTCAGACCAATATGGGGATCTAACCTTCCAAGAGTTATATATGTCGACCAATCACGTGTCCATAAGTGGGGTGATGAGAGTGAGGAGCTCAATTCCTTAGCCTTAGTAAGACTGGCAGTAGGAGAGAGAGTGTGAGACTTGTCACTAGCACGACGCTACATGTCGCTACACTTAAAATCGCTGTTCTGTGTAACCCATGCGGCCCATGTGTGTCAATGCTTGTGTTTCTGACGGAGGTTGTTGTATTTGCTCTGACACTGATGTTTGCTTCCCGCCTCATTATGTCGCCCTTGTCCATAGTTGCATACAAAATATCAGGCCGTGTTTTGGGATTCAGTATGAGTTAGTTCCTTGTTTTGAGCATGTTTGTGTAGACAATGAATCTACGGCGGCCACGGGGAAAGGTTTTTCGATTCTCTCAGGACCTTAGAAGCTGGAAGCAAGACGACTTTGACCATGTATTGAGACACCCATCATTGAGATAGTGTGTGTTTGTTCAACTGGAATTGTGACTCCATGGGTATCTTTTGCCAGCGACAATTGTTTATAATTATTATACTGCTTAAAGAATTTATAGAAGCAATATTTCTGGATGTTGCTGCCCATGGCGCATATATGACTAGAGTATGACTGTCAAAATATCAGCATCATATCAGCAACGACGGCACATCAAATGTGGCAAACCCAGTCATAAGATTCAGAAGCCCCAATTTGTTTCAGGTTGATAAACCATCATGAATCATTACCCATTATTAAGATAATCATCCTGGCAAGAGACCCCAAACAGTTTTGCAAGGAACATATGAAGATGAAGAAGAGATACTGACATGCCAGGTTTGATTCTGCAAGTCCCCTCTGTGAAGATCTCTGTATATAGAAGATCGTGTGTGGGATCTCCGTGACAGGCTCTGTATAGAAGCTGCTGTGCAAGATCCTTTGTAAGGCTATTTGTACAAGGTGTCTATAAGAGATCTCCACAGAAGCTCTCTGTAAAGAATCTCAAAGTAAGATCTCTGTTCAAACGCTCCAGGGGATCTCTGAGCATGATCTCTGTTCTTTTCGCCAGGTCTCTGTACAAGATCTTTACAAGAGGTCTCGTGGCAAGACCTCTGTACAAGCTCTCTAAAAAGCATTTCCCAGCAAGATCTCTGCTAGAGACCTCTTGGCAAGATCTCTGTGCAAGTTCTCTACAAGAGGTCTCTTGGCAAGATCTCTTGATGAGATCTCTGTAGAAGCTCTCTATAAGAGCTCTCTTGGCAAGATCTCTGCAAGGAACCTCTTGGCAAGATCTCAGCAGATCTCTATGCAATGTCGCCGTGCAAGATCTCTATGAGAGGTCTCTTGGCAAGAAGCTCCCTATACAAGGTCTCTTGGCAAGACCTGCTGCAGAGATCGCCACGCCATCTCTGTATAAGAGCTCTCTTGGCAAGATCTATGTAAGAGATCTCTTGGCAAGATCTCTGTAAGAGACCGCTTGGGAAGATCTCTGTACAAGATCTCTCCGTGGCAAAATCTCCGTGCAAGCTCTCTAGAAAAGATATCCTTGCCAAGATCTCTGCGCAAGATCTCCTTGATTATCAACATGAGCACCGCGCCACAACGAGAGCGATCTGACACGCCCAAAGTGACGAGAGGATTCGTGCGAGATTTGCATCAAAAATGAAAGATTAGGAAGCTTTTGTGCTGTAAGGGTCACCAAATTTGCCGAACACCCCGGATACCATGTCGATCAACCAGCGCGCCTTAACCGTGACAATAAGTAAGAACCCCTCAGTGTGGTGTGGGCACACTGCTTGGGGAAAAAACAAATGGTCACATTTGGTGTGGTTGATGACTATGTTTACCACATGAAATGGGTGCGATACCATCTATACCGTCATTTCTCATTGTTTGCCAGGATGGTCACAGAGCCGGAAACCTTGGAACACACCCTGGCAGATGCTATCAAGCGCCTTGCCTGATGCTGAAGGATGTGCTGGTGGCAGATAGTAAATGGTAGGTAACCATATGATGATATTTTCCCCAGTTTTATCTGTCTGTATATATATATATATTTACGATATGCATGTATGATGTATCTATATGATTTATGTGGTGTATATATATATATATGATATATAAGTTGTATATGATATAAACAATAAATATAAATATATATATATATGATATGATATTTGTGATTTATATGATATGTATGATATATATATATATATGATATTTATATATATATATTACACACATATATATATATATTACATATATATTTATATATATATATATTATATTTATGTGTGTTTGATTTGTACATGTATATCTGTATTTATATATACTATACATATATTTACATAATCATGATATATATATATGATAAGACCATCTATGTGCACATACTCCACCATACTCTCGGTTCAATGTGTAAGGCCCAGATTTCTTGGGAATCCCCTGGGTAGTCCCCAGTCGCAGGCATGGTGTGTCACCTGTGCATGATGGACCTGCTGAGGCAGACGGGGTTTTGCCCAAACATTGGTGTTTTGTGAATGGTTGTAATATCAATTGATGCTCAAAATTTTACCAAAAAATATATTGGACTAGTTGTAAGTAATAATTTATTCGGTGCTTATATTCCAAAATAATTCACTTGCCAAACACATTTCAGCTACAGTTATTTTAGGTCAGCATGTTTAATTCAGCCAGAAATATGAGGAACCAATGGGAATACAACCACAAATCTCCAGGTGGTTTTCCATCCCAAGTGGGCGATCCCGATGGAAGTTTCATCACTTCACGTGGCACCCCAAAAAAACATTTGTCCCTTCCAAATAGTCAGTTTTGATGGGCTAACAACAGGTTATGACTGGTTATTGATGTTTAATGTTTGATGTTTAATGCTTGATGTTTGATATGTTTATCACATTTTAGAACTTCTGTTGTCAACACACCACGAAAAATCGTACATCCAAGAGTGGAATCAGTGATGCTTACAGACATGGAAATTCATGGTGTGGTTTTTTTACCAGAACCAACTCTCAATGCATACGTGGACTAAGTTGGAAAAGTAGCAAAACCATCAAACCTGGAGAGCAAACAACATGGTGATAACAGCCAGCAAGCCCTGCAGGTAAACCCACGAATAGACCATCTCATTAAGCAACCATGACTGGGGGTCATTCAAAAATCATCCCAGCATAGGGGTATACCTAGTAATCGTCAATTGGGGATGGTGACTATGGCATTGGGTTTATTCCTAGTCACAGAATTTTCCACAACAATGTGGGCATTTATAGTGCGACACGGGGGTTTCCATAAATGCGGGGAGCCCCAAATCCTCCATGTCAATGGATATTTCGTGGTTTTTCCATCATAAACCATCTATTGGGGGTACCCCGCATTTATGGAACCCCCCATTTCAATCAATGGCGAAATGCGCCAGGTACCACCAACCTCGGTTCCGACCTTCGGAGCTCAGGTGTGGTGGGTGATTTGCATTTCCAGTACTGCCAAAAATGATGGGCTTTGTGGGCCCAATCCTGAAATTTTGAGATCAAACTGTATTTGTTAATTCGGGGTTTCCTCAACTTCATTGAAATCAGAACGGGATGAGTCGTTGTAAGCCATCGCCAAGTTTCATGAAAGTGCGATCCCCATTGGTTTGACAACCACCTTTGTTAGCTATAATATATAATATATAATATATAATATTTAATATTTAATATATAATATATATTTTTAAATATATAATATTTTTTTTTTAATATATAATATATATTTTTAATATATAATATATTTTTTTAAATATATAATATATATTTTTAAATATAATATATAATATAAAATATTTAATATTTAATATATGATATAATATAATATATAATATAATATAATATTTTATAATATAATATTTTATAATATGATATAATATGATTTGATTTGATATAATGTAATATAATATAATATAATATAATTTAAGTAAGATTGATGAGGGGGCAGGAGCCCCTTTTAAAATAACAAAAACAAAAAACAACGGAAAATAAAATGGGTCAGACCCCAGCATTTTGTTTTGTGGGTGCATTTTATTTTTTGAGGTGCCTAACCCACCAAGTTTACTGACAGAGATAGCATGATAGCAAAGATGCACAGCTGTGAACAGTCTGATCATTTTGTGAAACGTTCCAGAGATTTGGAATAACTTGGATATTAATTTCGAAAATGGGTTGGCCCCCCTCATTACTCATTTTCTATTGCCTCCCTTGGCCAACAAAAGACACACGGGCAGCTCACAGCAGCCAATGAGATGTCTTCAATTTATTTATATTTATTTATATGTTTTCTAGAACCCATCCAGATGTCAGAATTGGAACCAATTATATAATATAATATATATATGACCATTTGTCAAAAATAGTTGTTTAGAAGTTTAGTATTGGTTGTTGATAATTCATCTGGGTCTACTGTTGTTTCCTCTTCGCTATGAGGCGGCACGCAACTAAATTCAGCAATTCTGCAAGGCAGCGCTAGCAAAACCGCTAGGACTGCGCTAGGTTTGATTGACAGCCATGGCCTCCATGTCGTGAATGTCTTGCCAGCTTTTCTTACAAGTCTGTCTGTCTCCACATATTCCTAAATCTTCGATTTTTTTTACGTATTTTACGCGCTAGATCGCCGCTAGCAACGCGCTAGCGAAAATTGCAAATACATGTCCCGGTCCACCCGCAGCCCATTCAGAGGCACAGCCATGTTCACGCTTTGGTAGCTTACAGTAAGGAAACAGCGTTGATCAGGAGGCATGTCAAGAAGCATATTGCATTCAGAGAGGCACACACACAGAGACACACAGTTCAGGAGATAGTACCAGCGACAGCGAATGAAAACCGACGTGCGTTAGCCGATTCCTATGGTTTTAGAAAGATTTCCAAAGGTAACGAAGAATTTCCACGTTTTCACGTCATCAAGGTAGGTCATGTTTTTTAAAGGCAAACATGAGGCGGCACGCATGGAATTGCGATTTATCAACAAAGCCGGGAACAAACATTTTGACAAACCGTCATATATATATATATGTTTTGGTCGAAATCCGCGCGATTTTTCCTTCCTGTTGGCACGTGACAAAAGAAGACATTTACTTCGCAGATGCTGGGATATATGAGGTTGGGTCTTGCCATTTTGGTGGTTTTCCTTCAAAGATGATTAAAACCAATTAAATAAGGAAACAAGATCAACCCAAAAGAAATTGCCGGAGCCCGAGGTCCAACAGTTGCCAGGTGGAGGGTGCCTGACGTCATATTTTTTTTATACCTGTCCATTGTATTTTGCTTGGGTTTTCCTATCTTACCTTATGCCCTCTCATTTTATTGGCATTTTGTCCTCAGGCCCCTGCATTTTGTTTTACTGTATTTTTTTAGGGGTTCCAACCCCCCCTGGCAAGAGACGAGGATTGCTATGGTAGGTTAGAGCCCCATCATATCCGGATTCCATGGCGGTGCAGGTGCCACCGGTACCACCTGCAGGCGGGGTTCCTGCAAAGTGGGTATGATACTTATAACTTAAAACTGTATTACTCAGGGGTTTACAAACCAACTTCTAGCTGGGGGGGCCCACATTCTGAAGATTTTGGTGATCATTTCGTGAGATTTCTACATGTATGATTGAATTGTTAAGGGGCAAGACATCATGTGAAGTACAGAAAATGATTTTGTTTCGTGATGTATTAGTATTTTCCCCGAGTCGGAAGCCAAGAGTTACACTTATTCCAACTCATCTCTACTAAAGGATGCTCAGCGTGCAATTGAAATACCCTTCCCCTTGCCCCGAATAATGGATCCGGCACCAAGACTATTTTGAAAAACAGATACAAACGAGCTTTTGGTATCAAAAAACTATTCAACCAATGTCAAAAAAAACATCAACTATTTGAAAATATGTGGTGTCATGGTCTTAACAATAAACCCCCCAGGCGACAGCGTGGCCGGGGCGGCCATGGCCATGTTTCCGGGCGCAGATGCGCCAGCGCAACCTGACGTGGCGGATGCAGCGCCCAAGGCCAAATCCCATGGTTTGAGCTGCACCGAAGATTGGGAGTGGTTTATACCATCAACTTCTGTTCATAATGGAGATGATTTATAGCTTATAACTGGGTTCACTACGGTTTGCTATGGTTTACTACATTACCCCAGGGACCTATTTTGTAAAATGGATATTAACACATATTAACCATTGAGAATGCCTGGGATGCACCCCCAAAGTATCCATATGCTATACCTCGAGGCATACCAGATCACTTGATGATCTCAATGGCTTCCCAAATCTTGTTTCAATCCAGCAAGAAAGCGGCGTCCGATGGAGGAGGAAGTAGTAAAACGACTCTTGGATGAGCCGGGTTTCCATGTCATTTGGGTAATTTTTTTTCGTGACCTCACTTTGTGACCTCACTGGAATCATGGGAGTTGTGAGAGGAAGCATCCCCAAATGGCCGCAAGTTTCAGGTTAGTGAAATATTAATAAATATTGTAGTTTGCCCAGATGTCATTAACCCGAGGTTTTTGGTGACATGTTGAAATAGATCATAGAAAAGTTATAGACTATAGATTGCCAAAAGTGGAGGGGATGAACATCCACTTGCCAGCTATTACCAGCGGTGGTTTAGCAGGGTACTAGACTTTTGACCACTTACCATACCATTCCAGGCACTTTGCTGTGCCAAGAAGGAGCGCAAGGACGATGGACGGCCTGTGATGCGTTGCTTGGTTGGGATCCGAACAAACCTCCAAGGCTGTCGCTTCTGTTTGCCGCTGGATTCTGCCACATTGGAATCATTGAAATTTGAGGATTTTGAGGCACCCAACTGGCTGCTGTGTTTGGTTTCCGAGGCTATCCCGAATCTGGAGACGGTTTTTACCCTGTGGATTTGGATGGCGTTGTCTATGACTCCTTCAACCTCAGGTTGTGGAAGGGCTGTCGGTTCTGAACCCGTCCAACCATGATGTTTGGACCAAAGTGGCATGGGTTGGTTACCGTGCCTGCACTTTTTCCGCACTTCCACAATTTCCACAGTTGTAAAAACGCCATCAAATACTTCTCTATGCAACTGGGTTTGAAGACCAGGATCATCCATGAGCGCGACCGGACGGGCTTTGAAGAGACCAAAGACTTCCCAATCCGCGCGAACAGCACCTTGGATCAATGTATTGAAGTAATTGGGCGGTGGCATCTATCTGGATGAATGATTCCCATTGACTGCTAAAGATAGGGAGGCAGGTGGGCCTTGGCTGGCCGATGTTTAGAAGAAACTCCACAAACTGCACAAACTGTTGGTGTGTACAGTATGTACTGTATCATAAGAATGTATGGTACCACCGAAATAGATAGAACTGTGTTTTCAGGTTATAGATGATAATATGATATAATATGTACTTCATATTTCCGAAATTCCCACTTTTCTATCTATTTCGGGGCAATCTAATTGTATATACATACATTACATACATGTACTTCTTGCCCTTGAAGCCAGTTCAACGTCAATAACGTCAGCTGTACCAGTCAAGTGAGTCTCATTTTTTTAAATTTGGCAGGCCACAGCCCATTTTCTGACTGATCCCTTATATCATATTGTTGGTTATTTAGAATATGTACAGTATATATATATACACACCCTATTATATACATCATTATACTATATATAGATTAATATCCCATTACACAAACCCGTATATATTATATATATACACACCTTATTATATACATCATTATACTATATAATTATAGATTAATATCCCATTACACAAACCCATAAACTCCCCATGAAATATCCTCATTATATTCCTATCTTTGGATATCTTTGTGAAACGATGGAGATTTCATCAATGGTCAGCCCTTATATGCCTCAGGCATCGTGGCTGGTCGCTACCAGGCTGCTGTTTGACGTTGGGTCGTCTTCACTGAAGGATTTGTATCTATAGGATATTCCACAAAACACTTATATTAGACTTTTGACTTATCCAAAAAACATAGATCTTGACTTTGGCGGTGTCATCCAAGTCTACACATAAATATATGTTAATGAACATATCCATGAACATGTGCAAACAATATCATGAACTGTTCCAATTGGAATGCCTGACAGCTGTAACTTGGCATCAAGACTGACGCAGGTCTTGGAATACCTGGGCTCTGCAGCGTTCTCGCGAGCGGTGCAGTGTTTAGACTTGGAGACGAACAGGCAGCGGCAGGGACTCCGGGAGCCTGCGACTTGAACAGGTGGGATGTGGGTTCACTATAGATATATCATGATACTCTAGTGCGAATCTACTCATGAAGCAATTTATATATCTATAGTTTGTCTGAAAAATTGGTGGAAAGTTCCTAAATCCATTGAAACATATTGAGAACCATCACAGTAATCATGATTATCCCTTTTAAACAAGACCATAGTGCGTATCCCGGGGTATTCTCCATCAGACACATCCAAAAGTGGCGAATGAATCCTTCGAAAAACTCGCGATCTTTCATGGGCCAAATTTGACCCATAGCAGCCATAGCATCTTTTTTCCAATGTATACTGGATGTGAGGAGGCATGTTTGTGTGCAAAAGGGGAGAATATTTCTCCAGATCAAGTCCCGTTTTGTTTGCTTAAGGCTTGAGGGCAACTTGGCTTCGGTACCAATACTGGAGTCGCATTACACGCGGTGATTTGAAGGGCCTGGCAAAATTCCCACAGATTCCTCCATGGGGCAACCCTTCTGAAGAGTAAGTTATAGTAAGTTGTTGAATTGGCTCTACCATGCAGAAAATTGTGAAGCCTTCTGGACAGTGAAATTAATTTACCTCCCCGACTCATAAATATGTAGATGTGTTCAGGGATTTTTGCAAGTAAGTTTCACGTGAGCAGTGTTCAAAACTCTCGCTGGCCCCTTTATACCGCTTGGCTGATAATGAGATGTCCTTTAATGGATTGTGATGACCCCCAATAATTATAGTGGATAGTAACCATGTATATCCCCATATAGCAATCAACCAACTGGGGTTTAGCAGCCACTGTTCACGTGTTGTTGGACCAGAGAGTCGTGGCCATGGAAAGAGTCTGACAGGATGGTGTGTATGAAGATCATCAACAACAATAAGGACCGCAGAAGCATGGTCACCAGTGGTGTCACTTGATATTCAACACTGTATTTGGTGTATATCAAAACTCTACATAGAAACCAACGATAGTTGCATTATATTGATTTATATTGTATACAGTTATATGATATAATTATTTTATATGGTATTGTAAATATATGTATATACGTATATATGCCGCTTGTTTGGCGTGCACCTGGAAATTAAATGACCCCGAGATGTTGGATGGTCAAAGCACCTCTACCTCCATGTGTCAGGGGCGTGCATGTTTGCGCCAATGGGAAGGTGGATTCCATTTTGATTGCATTCTCAGATCTTGAATGCAACAAACTATTCACACCTCTTTTTGAGGACATATCATCATATAAGTGAAAAATCAATTCTGAATAGCATATGACATATAGTAATGTTGGATACTGATTAGTGTGGGGATACGGTATTGTGTCCACAGACCTCAAAATTATTCTGTAACTCTGGAAATGTTTGAGGGTACACTATTGTGTCCACAGGATTTTGGTGTAAGTTGTTTTTTCATTTTTTTTGTTTTTTAGTTTTTAATTGTTTTTTTATTTTATTTTTTAATTTTTAAATATTTTTTTATTTTTATTTTTAATTATAATAATTTTTAATTTAATTATTTAATTATTTTTTATTTTATTTTAAATTATTTTTTATTTTTATTTTTAATTATAATAATGTTTAATTTAATTATTTAATTATGTTTTATTTTATTCTTTATTTATTTTTATTTTTAATTATATAATTTTTAATTTAATTATTTAATTATTTTTTATTTTATTTTAAATTATTCTTTATTTTTATTTTTAATTGTAAAAAAACATAAAAATATTTGTATTGTTTTTTATTATTTTGTAAAATTGTGTCAGGATACACAATTGTGTCATTGTGTCAGGATACACAATTGTGTCTTGGTCTTTTTTTGTTGTTCAAACATTTCATGTTTTTCATTTTTTAAAGCTTTTTCCTTTTACTTTTTATTTTCCATCATTCAAATTTTCCAGATGCCTTCCACAGAAAATTACATCCAGGTACAAAATAGTGTGGTTTGTTTGGAGGGTACACTATTGTGTCCAGCTGCTTTCCTGAGGTCATGATTTTTTTTTATTTTTTCAATCATTTCCTTTACCTTTTCCTTTGCTAGCTAAAGTGTTTTCCTTTCAATTAATTTCTTTCTTAGTTTCTTTCATTTGAAATTCTCAGAAATGACCAGTTTCCCAAAATATATGATGCCTTATTAAAACCCAATTAAAAAACATGACTCAAACAATTTTTCAAGATGGTAGTCCATGAGCAACCCTGATACAGAATAGTGTGGTTTGTTTGGAGGGTACACTATTGTGTCCAGCTGCTTTCCTGAGGTCATGATTTTTTTGATTTTTTCAATCATTTCCTTTACCTTTTCCTTTGCTAGCTAAAGTGTTTTCCTTTCAATTAATTTCTTTCTTAGTTTCTTTCATTTGAAATTCTCAGAAATGACCAGTTTCCCAAAATATATGATGCCTTATTAAAACCCAATTAAAAAACATCACTCAAACAATTTTTCAAGGGAGTAGTCCATGAGCAACCCTGATACAGAATAGTGTGGTTTGTTTGGAGGGTACACTATTGTGTCCAGCTGCTTTCCTGAGGTCATGATTTTTTGATTTTTTTCAATCATTTCCTTTACCTTTTCCTTTGCTAGCTAAAGTGTTTTCCTTTCAATTAATTTCTTTCTTAGTTTCTTTCATTTGAAATTCTCAGAATGACCAGTTTCCCAAAATATATGATGCCTTATTAAAACCCAATTAAAAAACATCACTCAAACAATTTTTCAAGGGGGTAGTCCATGAGCAACCCTGATACAGAATAGTGTGGTTTGTTTGGAGGGTACACTATTGTGTCCAGCTGCTTTCCTGAGGTTATGTTTTTTTGATTTTTTCAATCATTTCCTTTACCTTTTCCTTTGCTAGCTAACGTGTTTTCCTTTCAATTAATTCCTTTCTTAGTTTCTTTCATTTGAAATTCTCAGAAATGACCAGTTTCCCAAAATATATGATGCCTTATTAAAAACCCAATTAAAAAACATCACTCAAACAATTTTTCAAGGGGGTAGTCCATGAGCAACCCTGATACACAATAGTGTGGTTTGTTTGGAGGGTACACTATTGTGTCCAGATGTTTCCTCGTGTGATTTTTTTCAAGCATTCCCTTTACCTTTTCCTTTGCTAAAGTTTTTTTCTTTTATGGTATTTCTATGGTATTACTATTGGATTTCTATGGAATTCCTATGGGATATTTCTGGAGGATTTCTATGGGATTTCTGAAGGGGTGCTATGGGAGTTCTATGGTATTCTTATGGGATTTCCATTGGATTCCTATGGGATTTCCATGTTATTTCTATGATCTTTCTGTGAGATTCTTATGGTGTTTCCATGTTATTTCTATGATCTTTCTATGGGATTTCTGTGAGATTCTTATGGGATTTCCATGTTATTTCTATGATCTTTCTATGATCTTTCTATGGGATTTCTGTGAGATTCCTATGGGATTTCCATGTTATTTCTATGATCTTTCTATGGGATTTCTGTGAGATTCCTATGGGATGTCCATGTTATTTCAGTTATTTCTATGATCTTTCTATGGGATTTCTGTGAGATTCCTATGGGATTTCCATGTTATTTCTATGATCTTTCTATGGGATTTCTGTGAGATTCCTATGGGATTTCCATGTTATTTCTATGATCTTTCTATGGGATTTCTGTGAGAGTCCTATGGGATTTCCATGTTATTTCTATGATATTTCTTTGGATTTCTGTGAGATTCCTATGGGATTTCCATGTTATTTCTATGATCTTTCTATGGGATTTCTGTGAGATTCCTATGGGATTTCCATGCTATTTCTATGATCTTTCCATGGGATTTCTGTGAGATTCTTATGGGATTTCCATGTTATTTCTATGATCTTTCTATGGGATTTCTGTGAGATTCTTATGGGATTTCCATGTTATTTCTATGATCTTTCTATGGGATTTCTGTGAGATTCCTATGGGATTTCCACGTTATTTCTATGATCTTTCTATGGGATGTCTGTGAGATTCCTATGGGATTTCCATGTTATTTCTATGATCTTTCTATGGGATTTCTGTGAGATTCTTATGGGATTTCCATGTTATTTCTATGATCGTTCTATGGGATTTCTGTGAGATTCCTATGGGATTTCCATGTTATTTCTATGATCTTTCTATGGGATTTCTGTGAGATTCCTATGGGATTTCCATGGTATTTCTATGATCTTTCTATGGGATTTCTGTGAGATTCCTATGGGATTTCCATGTTATTTCTATGATCTTTCTATGGGATTTCTGTGAGATTCCTATGGGATTTCCATGTTATTTCTATGATCTTTCTATGGGATTTCTGTGAGATTCTCATGGGATTTCCATGTTATTTCTATGTTCTTTCTATGGGATTTCTGTGGGATTCCTATGGGATTTCCATGTTATTTCTATGATCTTTCTATGGGATTTCTGTGAGATTCCTATGGAATTTCCATGTTATTTCAGTTATTTCATGGGATTTCTGTGAGATTCCTATGGGGTTTCCATGGTATTTCTATGATCTTTCTATGGGATTTCTGTGAGATTCCTATGGGATTTCCATGTTATTTCTATGATCTTTCTATGGGATTTCTGTGAGATTCCTATGGGATTTCCATGTTATTTCTATGATCTTTCCATGGTATTTCTGTGAGATTCCTATGGGATTTCCATGTTATTTCTATGATCTTTCTATGGGATTTCTGTGAGATTCTTATGGGATTTCCATGTTATTTCTATGATCTTTCTATGGGGTTTCTGTGAGATTCCTATGGGATTTCCATGTTATTTCTATGATCTTTCTATGGGATTTCTGTGAGATTCCTATGGGATTTCCATGTTATTTCTATGATCTTTCTATGGGATTTCTGTGAGATTCCTATGTTATTTCTATGATCTTTCTATGGGATTTCTGTGAGATTCCTATGGGATTTCCATGTTATTTCTATGATCTTTCTATGGGATTTCTGTGAGATTCCTATGGGATTTCCATGGTATTTCTATGGTCTTTCTATGGTATTTCTGTGAGATTCCTATGGGATTTCCATGTTATTTCTATGATCTTTTTATGGGATTTCTGTGAGATTCCTATGGGATTTCCATGTTATTTCTATGGTCTTTCTATGGGATTTCTGTGAGATTCCTATGGGATTTCCATGTTATTTCTATGATCTTTCTATGGGATTTCTGTGAGATTCTTATGGGATTTCCATGTTATTTCTATGATCTTTCTATGGGATTTCTGTGAGATTCCTATGGGATCTCCATGTTATTTCTATGATCTTTCTATGGGATTTCTGTGAGATTCTTATGGGATTTCCATGTTATTTCTATGGTCTTTCTATGGGATTTCTGTGAGATTCCTATGGGATTTCCATGTTATTTCTATGATCTTTCTATGGGATTTCTGTGAGATTCTTATGGTATTTCCATGTTATTTCTATGATCTTTCTATGGGATTTCTGTGGGATTCTTATGGGATTTCCATGTTATTTCTATGATCTTTCTATGGGATTTCTATGATATTTCTTTGGGACTACTATTGGATTTCTATGGGATGCCGATTGAAAGTAAATTGGCAGTAAATTGAATTTAATTGAAAGTAAATTCAAAGTAATTTGAAATCAATTCAAAGTAAAGTGAAAGTAAATTGAAATCAATTGAAAGTAAATTGAAATCAATTGAAAGTAACTTCAAATCAATTGAATGATCGAGATCCACAATAGTCTGGTTTGTTTGAGGGTACACTATTGTGTCCAGCTGCTTCCTGAGGTGATATTTTTTGAAACATTCCCTTTACCTTTTCCTTTGCTAAAGTTTGTTTCCTTTTAATTACTTAGCTTCATTTTTCTTGGAATCAAAACCAAAGGCTTTCCAAAGGATTAGTTTCAGCCAAGCAAAAAAAAACATGAATGATCATGATACACAATAGTATGGTTTGTTTGAGGGTACACTATTGTGTCCAGCTGCTTCCTGAGGTGATTTTGTTTTTTAACATTCCCTTTACATGTTCCTTTGCTAAAGCTTTACTTTCTCAATTAGGTTCTTTTATTTAGAATTCTCAGAAATGCTCAATTTCCCAAAATATATGATGCCTTATTAAAACCCAATTAAAAAACATCACTCAAACAATTTTTCAAGGGGGTAGTCCATGAGCAACCCTGATACACAATAGCCTGGTTTGTTTGAGGGTACACTATTGTGTCCAGCTGCTTCCTGAGGTTATGTTTTTTTTCAACCATTTCCTTTTCCTTTTCCTTTGCTAAAGTTTGTTTCCTTTTACTTAGCTTCATTTGTCTTGGAATCAAAACCAAAGGCTTTCCAAAGGATTAGTTTCAGCCAAGCAAAAAAAAACATGAATGATCATGATACACAATAGTCTGGTTTGTTTGAGGGTACACTATTGTGTCCAGCTGCTTCCTGAGGTTATGTTTTTTTTTTTCAACCATTTCCTTTTCCCTTTTCCTTTGCTAAAGTTTGTTTCCTTTTACTTAGCTTCATTTGTCTTGGAATCAAAACCAAAGGCTTTCCAAAGGATTAGTTTTAGCCAACCAAAAAAACCATGAATGATCATGATACACAATAGTATGGTTTGTTTGAGGGTACACTATTGTGTCCAGCTGCTTCCTGAGGTGATTTTTTTGAAACATTCCCTTTACCTTTTCCTTTGCTAAAGTTTGTTGCCTTTTACTTAGCTTCATTTTTCTTGGAATCAAAACCAAAGGCTTTCTAAAGGATTAGTTTCAGCCAAGCCAAAAAAAACATGAATGATCATGATACACAATAGTATGGTTTGTTTGAGGGTACACTATTGTGTCCAGCTGCTTCCTGAGGTGATTGTTTTTTTCTTTTACTTGAAAGTAAATTGAAATCAATTGAAAGTAAATTGAAATCAATTGAAAGTAACTTGAAATTAATATGATCATGATACACAATAGTATGGTTTGTTTGAGGGTACACTATTGTGTCCAGCTGCTTCCTGAGGTGATTTTGTTTTTTTTTTACATTCCCTTTACATTTTCCTTTGCTAAAGTTTTTTTCTTTTATTTTCTCAATTAGTTTCTTTTATTTAGAATTCTCAGAAATGCTCAATTTCCAAAAATATATGATGCCTTATTAAAACCCAATTAAAAAACATCACTCAAACAATTTTTCAAGAGGGTAGTCCATGAGCAACCCTGATACACAATAGTATGGTTTGTTTGAGGGTACACTATTGTGTCCAGCTGCTTCCTGAGGTGATTGTTTTTTTTATTTTACTTGAAAGTAAATTGAAATCAATTGCAAGTAAATTGAAATCAATTGAAAGTAACTTGAAATGAATATGATCATGATACACAATAGTATGGTTTGTTTGAGGGTACACTATTGTGTCCAGCTGCTTCCAGAGGTGATTTTGTTTTTTTACATTCCCTTTACATTTTCCTTTGCTAAAGTTTTTTTTTATTTTCTCAATTAGTTTCTTTTATTTAGAATTCTCAGAAATGCTCAATTTACCAAACTATATGATGCCTTATTAAAACCCAATTAAAAAACATCACTCAAACAATTTTTCAAGGGGGTAGTCCATGAGCAACCCTGATACACAATAGTCTGGTTTGTTTGGGGGTACACTATTGTGTCCAGCTGCTTCCTGAGGTGATTGTTTTTTTCTTTTACTTGAAAGTAAATTGAAATCAATTGCAAGTAAATTGAAATCAATTGAAAGTAACTTGAAATGAATATGATCATGGTACACAATAGTATGGTTTGTTTGAGGGTACACTATTGTGTCCAGCTGCTTCCTGAGGTGATTTTTTTTGAAACATTCCCTTTACATTTTCCTTTGCTAAAGTTTGTTTCCTTTTACTTAGCTTCATTTTTCTTGGAATCAAAACCAAAGGCTTTCCAAAGGATTAGTTTCAGCCAAGCAAAAAAAACATGAATGATCATGATACACAATAGTATGGTTTGTTTGAGGGTACACTATTGTGCCCAGCTGCTTCCTGAAGTGATTTTGTTTTTTAACATTCCCTTTACATGTTCCTTTGCTAAAGCTTTACTTTCTCAATTAGTTTCTTTTATTTAGAATTCTCAGAAATGCTCAATTTCCAAAAATATATGATGCCTTATTAAAACCCAATTAAAAAACATCACTCAAACAATTTTTCAAGGGGGTAGTCCATGAGCAACCCTGATACACAATAGTGTGGTTTGTTTGGAGGGTACACTATTGTGTCCAGCTGCTTTCCTGAGGTCATGATTTTTTTGATTTTTTCAATCATTTCCTTTACCTTTTCCTTTGCTAAAGTTTTTTTCTTTTAATTACTTAATTTCGTTCTTAGTTTCTTTCATTTGAAATTCTCAGAAATGACAAGTTTCCCAAAATATATCATGCCTTATTAAAACCCAATTAAAAAACATCACTCAAACAATTTTTCAAGGGGGTAGTCCATGAGCAACCCTGATACACAATAGTATGGTTTGTTTGGGGGTACACTATTGTGTCCAGCTGCTTCCTGAGGTGATTGCTTTTTCTCTTTTACTTGAAAGTAAATTGAAATCAATTGCAAGTAAATTGAAATCAATTGAAAGTAACTTGAAATGAATTGAAAGTAACTTGAATTCAATTGAAAGTAAATTGAAATCAATTGAAAGTAAATTGAAATCAAATGAAAGTAAATTGAAATCAATTGAAAGTAACTTCAAATCAATTGAAAGTAAATTGAAATCAATTGAAAGTAAATTGAAATCAATTGAAAGTAAATTGAAATCAATTCAAAATAAATTGAAATCAATTGAAAGTAAATTGAAATCAATTGAAAGTAAATTGAAATCAATTGAAAGTAAATTGAAATCAATTCAAAATAAATTGAAATCAATTCAAAATAAATTGAAATCAATTGAAAGTAAATTGAAATCAATTCAAAATAAATTGAAATCAATTGAAAGTAATTAATTAAATTGAAATCAATTCAAAATAAATTGAAATCAATTGAAAGTAAATTGAAATCAATTGAAAGTAAATTGAAATCAATTCAAAATAAATTGAAATCAATTCAAAATAAATTGAAATCAATTGAAAGTAAATTGAAATCAATTGAAAGTAAATTGACATCAATTTAAATCTATCATTTTTTTTTGATTTTACACTATTCTGTACCCGGTACCTTGTTTTTTCCACACTATTCTGTAACCCAAATTTGTTTGGGGGGGGGGGCCTCCCCACACTAATCAGTAACCTACATTATAGCACTTTCTGTAGACGATCTTTCATTGTTAAGCCTTCCAAATTCACTCACGTTCCATGTCCATCTCATTTGCCATGAAGCCGTACATGATCAGAATCCGAAAAGAAATTTTGCATCACAGTAGAGCTGGAAACCTCAACAGTTTTGCCCAGGACTTCTTTGATCAATCCTTGGATGAGATCAAACTCTTGCGGCTCATTCGCTTCAATACGGCCCGGCTCTGAGCAGGCGAAACAAAATCTTCGCCGGTTTTGTTGGAAGGGGATGTTCCTTCCGGATCAATGGCATATAAAAAAGGCCGGGGAAGAATCCCTCCAAATGATTCCATTTGCTTGATGGGTTTGATGGCGAGTTATCATAATTTATCATAGTTTATCCAGAAAGTTGGCTTGTGAAAATGTGATGGCCCAGTGTTTTGACAAGGAAAGTGTGGATGACAAGAACTGCTTGGGGCTGGTTGCCGGGAACCTCAAACATTGTGATTCCAGAGATTCAGGAGGTCGATGTTCAGTCATTGGCTCGGTCGAGGACTGGTACAACCATCATGAAATCTTGGAATGATACACACGTTTGGATACTTATTTGGTTAGAAGATGTTAGAAGTCATCAGGGGCAACTTAGATCATACAATGACACCTCTGATTCTATCATAGGAATTGCTCGTTTTTGCCGTGTTGGCCGTGCATAACATTCTGCCCCCAACGGGGGGCGTCAGCGTCCATGTCTCAGCACTGAGGACTACTTCTACCACAAAGAGCACTTGATCATCGTGACAGTCCCTCGACCTCGGGGGCTGCGGTCCAGTCGACATGCGAATCCCTTCAGACGAGCTGAGTGACATTTTGAAAGGTCCTCAACTCGTAGGAAACTGTCCAAAGTGTACGAAACCGTTTAAAAAAATGAGGTGATTACTCCACTTAATGGTAATCTTGATGGGGAAAATGACGATCAACAACGGATTTCATGGGGGCGGTCTCAAAGTGATAGACAAGTTCTGCAAGCTTCGTATAGGTTCGTTGCGCGGTCAATTGGCCGAGTGCTAAGGAGTTGCTGAGGGACAACCTCTACGAGTTTTCCAAGTACAACCGTCAGGTCCGCTGGGGATGAACATCAGTTGATGGGTGAATTTCAAAGACAGAATCTGATCCCAGCGTTTCGGATGATACTAAAGTATACTAAAGTGGTTAAGTCATAAGATGTTTCAGATATTTTTCAGATTTTGTTCATCTGAGGTTGGCCGTTTCCGACTGTTCCCAGGCATGTGAAGAGCCATACTTCACTTTAGGGCGTCTACAAAGGCGCAGAAGCAACTGCTTCAGCTTCCTGGGACATGGATGGACATGACATGGCATGGTTTGCCTGTTCAAATATGCAGCTGGCCATGATACATAATGATAGGATTGGATTGGATTGGAGGAGGACGTCAACCTGCTCCTCACCGAAGTGAAGTAGTTAAGACGCCGAAATTGCCAACGCAGAGCCGGAGCTCTTTGCACTGAACAAACCGGAGGGCAAGTTCAAGCCAAGAAAAGTACCACCCATGCAGCTGAAGAAGCAGCAAACGCTCATTCAAACGACCTGTTTTGACGTGGTTCGTGTTCAAGCAAAACTTGCCAGTAGGGAAGAGAACCCTTTAGTTGCGCCTTCCAAGCTTCTCCAGCCCAAACAACTGCCTCTCTGTGTTGTGACAAACAGGTAGCAATCACCTGCCGAAATTGACCTGTAAGATCAGCCGCGCTAGCATCCGCTTTGGAATTGAGCATGCGGCAACGCAAAACATCAAGCCACCCTTCGGGTGGGCGCCATCGAGGAACTTTATTATGCGAGGGAATCCAAGCACAAGAAGAGCCATCAACCAAAAGCATCCTGATATAATGCCAGTATGGAAAAAGATCTCCACCCCACTGACCAAGCCGCATGCCACGATGAAGACGTTGCACAAGAGCTTGGTTGTCAATCAGCAAGCGCACCGCTCTGTTCGCTTCATGGGAAGCCAAGCAGGCTTGAAGAAGTGCACCTCTCTCGCCCGCAGCAGGAGTTTGCTCGAAACCATGCACCAACTCATTGACCGTGGGCCCAAGATGTGCCGCCACAGCCCAGCTGGCACGCTGCCAAAGTTCGCACCCTGGAGCGATTGCGCAACTTCCATCCAAGCCCAAAGTCGGCGTTTGATGTGGGTCAAACTGTTGTAGAAAAGCCACCAGAATGGGGTCGGCCGTCATATCTTCAAATGGAAGAACAGCTGGAGCATCCACAAGAGGAACAAGCAACCGCCTTTCAGTTGGAGTTTTGAGATCACCATGCCAAGGATTTGCCTCGCAGTAGAAAGTGAAATGCTCACGATGAGGAGAGCTCAAACCACAATCACACTGCAAGTCGACTTCCAAACGTTGAGTAACTCTCCCATCCACTGCTGCACCTGTCAAGACTCTGCGACCACAATAGTTCAAATCATGCGCCACATTGGCCTGGAATTGGAACACAGGCAACTTACCTTCAGGTAAAGGACCCTCCGTTTTGGTGTCCTTCGTCCACATAAAAGCCAGCCATGCTGCAGCAGCAGCTTTGTATAAGCTTGAAGAAGACATCCACCCTGGTTTCAAAGTCCCCACGGGAGTGATCCACAAACCACCCTCAACACGCCAATTCCAGTCTTTGCAAACAGTATTAGCAGCGGGCACACCTATGGCCAAGCGGCACTGGCGCTGCCATTCAGCCTGGGCTGCAGCAAAGTGAAGCGCAAAAGCAGGATGCAAACGCGGTGTACCCAAAGAGTTCCAGAACAGCAATCTACTGCGACCTGGGGCAGGCTTGCGCCCCCAGACCGCCGCTTCAATACTGGAGGTCCAACTCTTGATGGTATCAACATCATAGTGGTGAAAAGCTCCTGTCCATGCAAACAAAGAGATCACCAACTGTCCCAGCAAGGTCTTGCGGGTGCCCAAACGTTTCGCTGCCAACCTGATTTTGCGACACCTCTCCTGAATGTCAAAGGAAAGCTTCTCTGCATTAACACAAGCACCTGCACGCTCCAAATTGTACTGAATACCCAGAAGCGTGAACTTGCTGCAAGGAGCCCCCAACACGTCCTGTATCTGTGACAGCTGTGGCGTCAAATGTTGCTTGGTTGTGAAACTATTTAACTTGTCAGGATGGAGTTCCATGCCCAGAATTGCATCAACCTGCGCACCTGCCTGCATGGCGTTGGTGACCACGTGAATGCCGTTGACACCTTTCTTCCACATTGTGCGGTCATCCAAATAAACTGCAAGAGAAACACGAGGCTCTTGCAAAAGAACGAAGCGCACCCAGACTACCATCACCGCATTGAGTAAGGCTGGGCTTGCCGGGCAGCCCTGCAGCAGCCCCCGCCGAGCACAAATGGGCTCTGAATGGAAAATGCCTTGCCAGGCAAACCACCTGCGTTGGTCAGTGTAAAAATTTTCCACCATGTCACACAAACTGGCCGGAGCACCCAACCAGCGCCAAATAGCAAGTGCAGTCTTTGGACAAACTGAATCGAAACCCCTACGGATATCGGCCTTGCAGCCAACAAAATCAACTCTTGAACGTTTGGCAGCACGAATGTCTTCGTAGAGCACTTCATGAACATCCATAATGCCTCTTCCTGGACGGCCGCCACAAAGCTGAGGCAAGGCCCATTCTTGTATCCATGGTCGGAGCTTTTGCAAAGTTGCACTCATGCAGATGCGCCACAGGACCGTCGTGATGGCAAGTGGGCGCAGGCCCCCGGCCGCCTTTGGAATCAAGGCTATGCGAATATCTTTCCACATTGTAGGAACTTTCGCACACTGCATGCACGCCGACCACAAGACTGCAACGTGATTCCAAAAGGACTCCGGCAACTTGCACAAATGAGCCGCAGTCCAAGCATCCATACCAGCCGCTTTTTGTTTAGCTTTCAACGCAGAACGCGCCAAATCAGCCCCAACCACTTGAATGCTTTCAGGCGTGACTGGGTCGACCTGATTGTTGAGCTGCAAACACAAATTTGAAACCTGGTCTAAATGTGGGAGGTGGTCCGGATTCCAATGCGTGTGCCACGCAGCTGCCTCCTGTCTTGCCTTATCTTCAGGCAAAATAGGACCATCGACCTGTGTTGCTGTAGGTGGATCAGGTGGTTTTTGCTGAACCCACTTCCCCAGTTTCGCAACATTTTCTTGAATGTCCTCTTTCCAAGCAGCAAGGCGTCGCTGAGACGCCTTTTTGGCCACCTCATCTGCAAGAAGCAAAGCGGCGGGAGCCCAACCACCATCAGATAAAGAAAACGCAGTAAGAGACGAGTGCAAAAGCGGAGCATCGCGCAACAGCTTGGTTTGCAATTGCGGCGAAGGAGCCTTTTGATATTCGACCACCCGCCGTGCAAATCTTCTCAGCTTTCGCTCCTCCAAAGTCTGCAACGTAGGAGCTTTGGTTGATGGGGGGCTCGCCATTTTGTGCGGGCCGTCCCTTGATGCCCTGCTGGGCTTGCCTTGTGCAAGCAGCAAAGATTCAGCACAGTTGCTCAGGACCACCCAAGCTTGATCCACATTTCCGACGGCCAGAGCATCGGTGAAATCTTGCTGTGATTCTGCCCAAGCAACATTCCAGTTCTCAACCTCCACATTGCAAAGCAAGAGTGGTGCGCTTGCCGGCAATCTCCAAGGCGTGGGTAAGCTACCATGCACATGTATATCGTAAATAACTGCATCATGGTCAGCAACACCTAAAGACTGCATTTTCCGGAAACAACAACTCTGGGAGTTGAAAGCGCGTAGTCAATGACCACCCCTGTGTATTCACCATCTGAGTTGCGATGGGTGCCAGGGCCAATCTGGTCTCCGCAGACTTGTTCATCGCAAGAATACCATTGCCCCGACGCCAGCGCGGTGGAGGCCGGCCAAACATGCCTTTCCCTGTTGAAATCGCCCACAATGATTGCTTCTTCGCCCAGCATAGCAACGTATTCAAAAATGGCAGCCAAGGCGTGGCCAGCAGCTGTTTGATCGTTGGCATGTAGGTACACATTGATCAGAAGAAGCGGTCGCTGGTGAGGTCGAAAAAGCTTCAGCGCCATGGCACGGTCAGCCGGTGCAAACTGACTTGGAATGGCCAACGCTTCAGCAGGCCACTTTGACAAAACTAACGTCCCGCCAATCACCACATTCTTGGCATCTACCCCTTGGCCGCCAGGAAAAACTTGCCACTTTCGCTGGTTTGCAGCTGACTTGACAGCGCTCCAACTGTCGACATTGACTCTAGTTTCTTGCAAACAAAGAACATCGATCTGCTCAGTCTTTGCTAACTCAAAAACGCCACCCAACCGGCCACTCAATGACCGGACATTCATAGTTCCCAACCTTAAAGTGCTAGACGTACCCGTCATTGGTCCGTAGAATCACCTTCCTCTTGCTGAAACCCCAAAATCTCCAAAGCACGGAGCGCCGCTCTCTGCCTCGCCCCAGGTTCTTTGTTGGCGAGCTCCAGCAAGGCGTCTTTGTTGCCTTTTCTCTTTTGGTTCCAAACGGTGCTGTTGGCGCAAGACATTCCACGGAAATGTTTCTCGTCCTTCATGCACCGCTTGCATCTCGTGCAAGCAAAACGGACCGTGAAATCTACCGGCCAGACAAGTGCCTCAATATGGTGTTTGGGCGCAGTGTCTTTGGAGCTTCCCTTGCCTGAGTCAATAATGTTCAAAACTGTACGGGCACCATCCTTGAGAGCATCACTGATGGACGCTTTGTTGAGACAAGCGCGGAGCCTTGCCAGCATCTTCTTCCTCTTGGGGCCATTGCCGGCCACATACTTTTCACAGGACAGCGTAGCAAGCTCCTTTGCTTGATTCGCCATCTTGCCACATTTGCGACAAATAACCTTTGCCATACCTCCTCTTTTCTGTTTGGCCTTGCCAGTCATAGGGAGGGTAACCAACACTGGTTCGTGGGAACCGGCATCACCTTTTTTGAGGCCCAACAGGCGTTTTGCCATGCCAGCTGCGCGCACTTGAATCGTAGCTTTGGCTGCATTTGCCGCCCTGTAACTTCCATCGCTTTTGAAACGCTGCACATTCGCTTTCGGATGGTGTTCTTCTCTATGCCTCAGTTTCATGCGAAGCACCTGGTCTCTGCTGAGATCGGCATCTTCAGGAATGACCATGTTGCACAAGTGACACTTCCACTTGAAACTCATACCAGGGGCGGCGTGACAAAGCTGACCCATAGCGGGAGTGAGCTTCAACCTCTCCTTCTCATCAGGATGCCAAGCATTGATGTGGGCCTGCTTTTTCTGCGGCCACAGCCTGTGTACCCCCGTGGAATAATCGCACAAAGGACAATTCCATTCCTCCCTTTTTGGGCGTTTGGACGAAGTGCTGCCAGCCTCGTCCTTTTCGCTGACACCAGCGCTGCTCACAGCACGCCGCTCCCGACCTGAAGTAGCAGTCGCAGGGGAGGGATTCCTGCGCCGCTTTGAGCAAGTAGAACCAGGCAAGGAGGCGTCGCGCTTGGAACGCTTCTTGGCGCCCGCCACAGATGGCAGCGCTGACAAACGAGTAGCGCCAGCCGAGTGAGTGCCAGTTTCCGACCCGCCCCCTCTGTTGCCTTGCATAGGGCCAGTGGCGGCTTGCTCCAAAATGCCTGGCGGCAATGCGCCATCCAACAATTCATAATGCTTTCGGCGATACCACAGAGCAATGGCGCCACCTGCTTTCCCTTGGCTGTTGTAAACCTCAGGCACGCCCGTAGGCTGAAAAACTAATATGGGTCTGTCGTAGTGCACGGCAGCTGCAGCACATTCCAAGCTGCTGCCCCAAGCCCCAACCTTTGCAAGCATCTCCATGTACTTTTCCCATGACTCGCACTTCTCTTCCTGTTCCGTGGGCTCCCTTTCGTCCCACCAAGGTTTATACCGACCTTCATGCTTCTTTAAATGGTTCACAACTGCAGCTCTCACGGATCTTGCAGTTTTGCCTCCAATTCCCTGTGATATGGACTCAAACAAACAATTGCCATCAGCAGCAATGGTTCGTGCAATCAAGCCATGAGGTGGCTTGACATCCACTGCAACTCGCTTTGCCGCCGGCAGCTTGGCGGGCGAAGAAGGTTCGCGTTTGTCACCTGCAGCAGCCGAAGCAGCTTTCATAGCTTCATCAGCTTGAACATCACCAGGCTGCGTGGCGCCTGTAGCAGGCGCAGCTGCAGCGTTCTTTTCCTTGAGCGGCGTGCCAATGTAGAAAGACTTTAGCGGTGGCTGTGAGGATTGCACAGTTGCAGGCCCAGTGTTGGAATGGAAATTGACCTTTCCGTAACTGGACAACTTCTTTGTAATGGGCCGCTGAGGTCTCTGCCTGGGCGCTTCAACGACAACAATGGTGTGTTTGCCGGCCTGGATCTCAAGGAAATCAAGATCTCTTTGAGCATTCGCATGTGCCCACCATTCAACTTGCTTGCCCAAAGTTTTGCGAGACAAAATCTTTGGATCTTGCAAGCCAGCACGTGTGATCGCTTCAGTGACCGTGCTGGCTGACCATTCTCGGGGCACACCACTAATGCGCCATGCTCTTGGCTTTGGAATCGGGTCAGATGCTCTGGGCTTTCGGACGCCTAAGCCGCCCCACCCTCTTGCAATGCCAAGATCACCTGCCAAACTTCGGACCTTTTGAAGATAGCTGGGGCCATCAAGGTCAGGACCTTTCTTGATCCATTCAACATCACATGACTCCACCACACTGTTGTTCCATTGGAGAGGTTCGACGAACCACAGACTTTTCCCAGAACAAGAAAGCAAGCCTTTCGCTGCATCTTTCTCAATCCTCAGCAACCCAGTAATGACCGGCTTGCCACCACCCTTCGTGCACTCCTCTTGGAAAGCCCACATGTCAAAAACTTTGGCACCAATGTGGGCGGGCACATGCCTTCGCAACCATGACTGAGCGCTAGCCTTTGGTTTGGCTTGGATGCTCTGCCACTCTTTGCTCAACAAATACTTTGCTTCAACGCTCAACCTCACAACCACCGTCTCAGTCTGAGCTGCAGGAGCAGCAGAAACAACGGCTGCTCTTTTGAGTGTTGGTCCGTTTCCTTTCAAGGCTATCAGGTAAGCCTGCCTTGGCTGAACTTTCCCAGCTATTTTGCCAGGTATGAGCCTCAACTGTCTGCCGTCGATCTGCTTCGCTTCTTTTGGAGCTAACAAAACTGCAGAGACATGCAATTCTCTTGTCTGATCTGTTGCATCACCTTCTGTCAAAACTTTGAGCTCACTCAGTTGCTCTTCCGATTCACACTGCACTGTTGCTGACACATTGCCAGGCTGATCCAACGCACTGCAAAAAGAATCAAAAGTCAAAACTTGGCCGGTCCAGTCCGACTGTCTCAAACACCAAACTGGTTTGAACGGTGCGTTCGTTCGAACTACTTCCACAAAAGACTTGGATGCTTGTGTGGGCTGTTTCTTGTTGGCATCCTGTTTGCGATTGGGAAGCTGCGCAGAAGTGCTAGTAGGATTGGTGATTGGGGCAGAATTGAGCGCTGCATTCCTGTGGCCAAGGCCCGCACCACCATTGTCACCTTCCTGTGTCTTGCGCTCTTTCTTTCTCTTTTTGGGCTTGTTCCCTCCTTTGTTTTTGGAGGTGTCAACAGCTCCAATTTCTTGACCCATCAGAGTGCTAAGTTGCTGAAACAATTTTCCGCTGCCTCCCCCAATTCCCAACAATTGGCAGAGCTGGGTAAGCAGCTTGAGAATTTCTCCTACCTGTTGCAAATTGAAGCCATTAGCTTGCGCATTGCTTTGTTTCTGTTTCCGTCTTCGAGCTGTTGCTCGGCTGCCTGCTCCATTGCCATTAAGGATATGTTGCAAAGCATTTCTGGTTCTGGAAGACACAGCCCAAGTCTTCTGTGGCAAGTCAGTGCAAGCACAACAAGCACACACCACAACTGAACTGTTCGCTTCTGTGCACTGCCTAGGCCTGAAAGCAATGCATAGACCCGCAGCAACCGCGCGGAGGTCGTTCAGGTAGCCGCATACATAATGATAGATGAATATGGCAGTGTGTCAAAACCTTGTACCCCTGTAGTTCACATCAAAATAGCTGGTAAATGGATGTTCATCCCCCTAATAGCTGGGTATTAATAGGTATTGATCCATACCCATATGGATGATACATGTAACATATTGTAACATCATGTAACCTTTGACTTCCAGGCCCTCAACATTCTGGATCGGGCTCGCCCGCAACTCAACGAAAAACCCCGGCGACCAGTCGGCTTCCAGGATCGCCCATCAAGTCTTGGTGGCCCTGGAGTTACCTGGGGGGATGGGAGCTTGAGAGGTGACCACAAATTCAAGGGGGGATTTAAATGATGCAACCAACAGATACCAACAGAACTCATCAAATTTAAGAGTTCATTCCATAGGAGAATACCAGATATCAGATGTCGAATCACATTGCACTTAAAAAAGAATGCACTGATCTTCTTGGACAGTGCAAATTGTTTTGGGCAGTGAGTTTGCTCTTCTGGTTTGTAGGCTATTCATATGGCTGCATCAAGGTGTTTGAACCCCCTTGGGCCCTTGCCAAAGCCGAATGGTCCATCCGTTTCCAGGATGCAAATCAATCAAAGCGATTTCACCTTATGCGGCGAGTTACCAAAGATTATATATTTATAATACATAATATATACTGTATATATATATATTATAATTATATAATCATGACATGAGTCCTTGACAGGATGTTGCTTTCGCTGCAGGCTTGCAGCACCTTTCAGTCGCAAGCATGTCCTTTGTTTTCGCCATGCCACGGTGGCTATGTCTGCTGTCTTTGCTCCTTGGTGTTCGCAGCAACACCCCGGAAGTGACGACACCCATAGGGCAGCTGAGGGGCAGCAGCGATGGCCGGGACGGGGAGGTCCACGTCTTCCTGGGCATTCCATACGCTGAAGCACCGGTGGGGGACTTACGCTGGCGACCCCCAAGAAGAGTCAAGCCATGGAAGGGACTACGTGAGGCTTCCAGCTTTGGCAATCAGTGCAAGAATCACTGCATGTCTGGTTCCCATCTTGACTTTTCGACCAAGGGAGGCGATGAAGATTGCCTCTACTTGAATGTGTATGCACCAAAGGAGGCCCACAACACTTCTCAGCTGCCCTGCCTAGTTTTTCTGCATGGCGGATGTAACGAATTTGGCGCCGGCCATGAATCTGGCTTGTCGAACCCAGTATTTTCTTCTGCCCCATTCCTGGTATGATGTTCCCCAAGATTTTCCTAAAGTATCCTAAAGTGATATGTTTCTATGTTCTTTTTTAAGAAACCGCCAGCCATCAGGAATATAATGGCTCCAACTTGGTCAGTTTTTGGAGATCCCAACGCAGCCCCGCCCTGCTGATCACTGTGAACTACCGGCTGAATATCTTCGGCTTCCTGGGTAGTGACCAGCTAAGAGATCGTGACGAAACAGATCGATCCACTGGGAACTACGGATTCCAGGATCAGCGCATGGCACTGCATTGGGTCCAGGAGAACATTGGAGCCTTTGGTGGAGATCCACAAAAGGTGATGCTCTTTGGACAGTCCTCAGGTGCCGCCAGTGTTGGTCTGCATTTGGTGACGCCCAGCTCCTATGGCCTTTATTCCAGCGCCATCATGATGTCAGGAGGCTTCGGCCCTTGGTCCGTACAACACATGGTGCGCAAAGAGCTGTGGTTCGAGCGGCTCATGAATCAGACGCATTGCCGCGATGTAGACTGCCTCGTAAGTCTTTCTGCAGATGAGCTTCTGTCAGCTTACATGGCAATTCCAGACGGCAGGTGTTGTAGAAAGGCCAAAGGATTGGGCTCATATCCTGAGATCCCATGGGCTGCTAGCATTGATGGGGTGGAGCTCTCAGCTCATCCCTGGGACCTGCTGAAAAAAGGGCAGGTGAACCAAGTTCCAATTCTTATCGGCAGTACCCAGGAGGATGGTGAATTTTTCACGACTGTTGCCAAAAACCTGAGCAACAAAGACTTTCAGACTTTATTCCAGGCCAAATATCAGTCTTCGCAAGCGCAAGCGGAGCTGTACAGCTTGGAATCCCTTGAATCACCGGCGGCTCCCAGTGAGGGCTCCAGCCCCAGTGAGGGTTGGTGGTCTGCGCTTCGTGTTATGACAGACAAGCACTACTATTGCCCTGGCCATTTCTGCCGCCGGAGCCTTGTGACTGGCCCAGCTCCAACTGCTCATGGCGTCTTCGGCTACGTCTTTGCACATAGTGCCACTGGCACTGCCAAACACTCGGACGACTTGCTATTTGTCTTCATGAGGGCTTATGTTTTGAACAAGTTTTGGACTTTGTTGTGATACTTTATACCTTATCACCTTATGTATATATGTTTCCTCATCGTCAAAACTTGGGATAATGTGGAATGATTTGTTCTTTCATGGGCCATTGATGGGCGTCATTTTTTCACACCCAGGCCATTTGTCTTCATGGACTTGCCGGAAGAAGCATCTTCCGAAGAACAGCAGTTGGCTTCAGAGATGGCCATGTTTTGGTATCACTTCGCTGCTTGGGGGCGTCCTGCAGGCTCAGATGTGTGGCCAGCACAGTCAGCAGAGGCAGCTCCAATGTTGAAGTTTCAGGTTGCATCAAAGGGTGGCAATCAGGTGATCTATGATGCCCGCGATCGGCAGTGTGCTTTCATCATCGAATGGCTAAACCACAGCCTTCGAAACATGTCCGAAGCTGGGACAACTTCGACGTGTGATAATAGAGTAGACACTTGTGCTGGGTGATGTAGGTTTGGGCAAGCTGAGCCTGGATGTTGCCAGACTTTCGCAGATCTTCTTGCATATACGATCGTATGCGTTATTTGATTTGATTTTGCTTACTCTAACAACCCGCAGTTCAATGAAATAGGCAGGCTCGGCAGTTGCGGATCGCGAAGATGGCACACAGCATCCAGCAAACGGAGACAAATCGATTATGACAACGTGGAAGAGTGGCGGGAAATCATACTGATGGCGGTTTGTCATTGTATGCCTGCAGTCCCATTTTTACTTGTTTTAGTATGCTTTCAGCAAGGTCTATGATTGGTGTGTCTAGGGTGTTTCAAAACTAATTATCTCATATCCTCACGTTTAAGGGAGGCTTATACCCTCATGAATCACAATGTTCCAAAGGACGCAACAAAACATCGAGTCCATATCGAACAAATGGAAATAGATGGATATAGCTGGCCAATGATTGTTCATGATTGTTCCCTTAAAAGATCCTCAATGTCCCATAGACATTGACCCAACCCCACTACCAGGTACATCCACCAGCTCTATTTGATCCACGCTGATTTGAAGCCCGAGCGGCTTGGAGTGAGGAGTTGAAAGTGTGTCCACAGTGTGTCCCATACCGGGGGTTTCTTAAAATGGGGGATCCCCGAGGCCAGGGTTTCAATACTAAGTCATGGTCATCCATGACTTGGATGATTTGGGGTACTTGTATTTTAGGAAATCTCCATACATATCTTCAGGTAATGATGAATCCCAAAGGGGAAAAAACTCATTGCTGATGTCAAGTCTGGTTTCCCTTGCCATTGCTTGTCATTGCTGGTGTCATTCCTTCCTTGGGATGGGTCAAAACACGTGGGCTGGGGCAATTCTTCTTTAGCTGGGAAGTTATATTCAAGGTATCTAAATCCAATTTTAATGTATTTGGGTCCGTGATAAGCACACTAGGTAGGCCCCTTACCCACCGCAGCCAAAATAACTACCGTCTACTACCATATTGATACTTGCAGCTGCCACCAAGGATAAGAGGGATGATGGGCAACGGGTGACATCACCGTCAGAAGTATAAATAAATAAATAAATAAATATATATATATTTGCCTGTGTGATTGACCAAAGTCTTCTTCATAGTCATCATCGTCGTTATCACTGATCACCACTATCACCATGCTCATCACAGGCAAGAAGGTCTTCATCTTCATGATCAGTCTATAGCTACAGAAACTATACTCCATATAATCTCCATATACACTTCAATACGCCCAAGGACTGCAGCAAACCAAAATCGATTTACCAGGCCTTTCTACTTTCTATGTATTTCTGTGATCCAAACATCGATGCACCTGGGGGTATCTGCAAACCAAAATCGATGTGCCAAACCGGATCTGGTGCATTGATTTTCTGGCGAAGGGCCCTATCCAGTGGGCGTATCACAGACCCAAATACATTGGAATTTGGGCCGGTTGGGACATGAGGCTGTCATTCGATTGGACCAAAACGTGCCGTATGAAAATGCTGATGGAACACTCATTGCTGCACATTGCGAATATCATCCACTGATTGTATTCTCCTTCTTGAGACCTTTGCTCCAGTTCAAGATCAATGTAGTTTGAGAACCTAGATATGGCTAGATTCTTCAGATTCTTCACTGCCCCCAATATATATAATATATTGGGTAGTATATTCCCAAAAAAATCATAAACCAGCCATCATTTATCAACTGCATAATAGCCTATATAGCCTTATATGTTGGGTCGTCCTTATATATTGGATGGCCAAAACCTTTGCTGCAACTGGCCGCAAAGGAACATCTTGATCAAGAGCTATTCTCGATGCGAGGTGCGAAGGATTTTTGCCAAAGTTCCAATCCAGCTACATGAAGCAACAACACACCCGAATAACTTGATGCAGCTCCAGCCGACTCCCACTAGTATGTGTACATGTATAAAAGGAAATATTCATTTCTATACTGTATATTAACTATACAATATATATATATATATATAATATAATATTATATATATATATAAATATATGGATGTAGATATAATAATTGAATCATATATTATCCAAGGAAGTTTAGAAGTCAAACTTCCGACAATATTGACAGATGAAAAGCAGAGATGGGAAGAGTCAGCGAAGAGAAGAGAAGAAGAAAGAAGATCAAAAAAGAGAAAGTCTCAGAAGAAAGAAGATCCAGGCGCGCGAAAAGGTAGGAAAGTCGCGTTTTTCCAATGATTTGTGGCTCCGGAGGGTCGAAAAGTAGGCTCGCGAAAGCGGCTGGTGCGGAGCCCGCTGGGCAGATGAGAGATGAAAAATTGCACGCCGTTGTGGCGCGAAGCACATTTCGAAGTCAAAGTGCACAAAGCAGACCAGGTCCGGACCACTTTTGGAAGTTGAGATGTCGAAAAAGTGCACGCCGTTGTGGCGCGAAGCACATCTCGAAGTCAAAGTGTACAAAACACACCAGGTCGGGACCACTTTTGGAAGTTGAGATGTCGAAAAAGTGCACGCGGTTGTGGCGCGAAGCACATTTCGAAGTCAAAATGTACAAACAATACCAGGTCCGGACCATTTTTGGAAGTTGAGATGTCGAAAAAGTGCACGCCGTTGTGGCATGAAGCACGGTGAAAAAGCTAAAAAGACCTCACGTTCGGAGCACTTTTGGAAGTTGAGATGTCGAAAAAGTGCACGCTGTTGTGGCGCGAAGCACATTCGAAGTCAAAATGTACAAAACACAGCAGGTCCGGACCATGTTTGGAAGTCGAGATGTCGAAAAAGTGCACGCGGTTGTGGCGCGAAGCACATAGTGAAAAAGCTAAAAACACCTCACGTTCGGAGAGCTTTTGGAAGTTGAGATGTCGAAAGAGTGCACGCCCTTGTGGCGCGAAGCACATTTTGAAGTCAAAATGTTAAAAGCACCAGGTGTTCGGACCACTTTTGGAGGTTCAGATGTCGTTTCGCGTGGCAGGGGCAAGGGATTGTGCACCTTGTCAAACGTGAGCAAAACGTGAGGGTTCTGTAGCATTTTCAACTACAATTACCACTACACCACACTACACTCCAATACACTACACTACAACTACAACTACACCTTCACTACATTCCACTACACTACACTACGCTCAATTACACTACACTACACTACACTACACTACACTACATTCCACTACACTACATTACACTACACTACACTACACTCACCTACACTACACTACATTACACTACACTACATTCCACTACACTACACTACACTACATTACACTACACTCCACCACACTACACTACAACTACACTACACTACATTCCACTACACTACATTCCGCGACACTCCACTACACTCCACTACACTACACTCAATTACACTACACTACACTACAGTACACTACACTACAGTACACTACACTACAGTACACTACACTACAACATTACACTACACTAGACTACGACATTACACTACACTACACTACATTCCACTACAGTACACTGCATTACACTACACTCCATAACTATAGCTACAACTACAACTACAACCACAACAATACTACATTTACTCTACGCTACACTACGCTAAGTACACTACACTACACTCCACTACACTACACTACACTGAATGACACTGCACTACACCTACAACTACAACTACAACTGCGACTGCAACTACACTACATTACATTACACTACGCTACACTAATGACATTGCACTACACTACGCTACATTACACTACGTCGCACTAACTACAACTACAACTACATAAGACTACACTACACTACACTAATTACATTGCACTTCACTACACTGCGCTACACTACACTACACCCTACTCCACTACACTACACCTCACTACACTACACTCCACTACACTACAGTACACTACACTCAATTACACTACACTACACTACAATACATCACGCGACACTACACTACGCTACACTACAACTACAACTACAACTACAACTACAACTACAACTACAACTACCACTGCACTACACTACAATACACCACGCGACACTACACTACACTACGCTACGCTACACTACACTAGACTAGAACTACAACTACAACTACAACTACATTACACTAACTGCATTACACCACACTGCAGTACACTGCACAACACACTACACTAAACTACACTATGCTACACTACACTACACACATTGCATTACACTACACCACACTACACTACACTACACCACACTACACCACACCACACCACACCACACCGCACTACACTCAATTACACTACACTACACTACCCTTCCCCACATCGCATTACATTACATTACACTACACCCATTACACCACCACAAATGCAACTGCAACTCCACTACACTACAACTACAACTACAGCTGCACCACACCACACTACATACATCCAGCAGTTGCGGGTGAGGTGACCGACCAGGTGACCACTGCAACCATTGCAACCATACCAAAAAGCACAACTCCAACCACCTGTCGGTCCATCAGTGGATTCGCTCTGCCATCCGTGATTCACAACAACCAACCTCTCCTATAGGTTTCCTATTCTTGAAACTTCCGCCACCGCCTTGTGCGGTACTACTGGTGTATATATATATACATACATGCGAAGGACGTTTAGAAGTCAAACTTCCGACAATATCGACAGATGGAAAAGCAGAGGTGGGAAGAGTCAGAGAAGAGAAAGGCAGAAGAAAGAAGATCAGAGAAGAGAAAGGCCGAAGAAAGAAGATCCAGGTGCGCGAAAAGGTAGAAAAGTCGCGAAGCATTGTGTTTTTTCAATGTTTTGTGGCTCCGGAGGGTCGAAGAGTAGGCTCGCTAAAGCGGCGGGTGCGGAGATATCTGGTCAGCTGGGCGATCAAAAATTGCACGCCGTCGAGGCGCGAAGCACATTTCAAAGTCAAAATGGTAAAAACATTGCAGCCTCGGAGCACTTTTGGAAGTTGAGTGCTCGAAAAAGTGCACGCTGTTGTGGTGCGAAGCAGATGTCGAAGCCAAAACGGTAAAAACACCACAGCGTTGGACCATTTTTGGACGTTGAGCTGTCCAAAAACAAACAGATAGATAGACTTAGACAGATAGATAGATAGATAGGTAGGTAGGTAGGTAGGTAGGTAGACATAGGCAGATATGTAGACAGATAGATGGATAGACAAATCGATGGACATATAGGTAGATAGACAGATAGATTGATTGATACATAGATAGACGGACAGAAAGATAGACAGATAGATAGACAGAAA